GTGCAACTTTCGAATATTACTATTATTTTACCCAGCATGAAATAAAAAAATTCATAACCAACAAGTGCTTTTATTTTGCACAAAAAGCATAATGTATACAATATTAGTTCACCTTCATAAGAAAACACAATTTCAACAATATCAGCAACTGGAAAATTTATTAAGATTTTCAAATATACCACAACTTGTCGTTGCACGTAAAAAAAAAAAAAATTCTGAACTAATTTGCCCATTAAAATGTAAGAAAGATTTAGTTCTGAGGAAAATTTTACTTTATTTAATTGATCAATTGCAATTTTTAATATAAATAATATGTTCTTACTCTTTTATTTACTGGTGGATATGTCTCCCTCAATAATTAAGAATCTTTAAAAGTCATGAATCACCTGCGATTTAAATTATTATATAAAAGTTAATAAATTAAAATTAATCTCTTTATTGATATGTAATAGAAGGAAAGAAAAAGATTTTAATTTTTCTGATGTGGAAAATCTGATGAACTACTATAAGTAGGTATTTTAATTTCGTTCCCCTCAGAAATTGGAAACTTACAACTCCTATAAAGTAGTACTCCACAAACCTGATAGTAAGCTATTTGAAGTTATTTCTAATTATAAGTTATAGGGTAATTTTATAAAAGCAAGTCGGATAAATTATAAAATATACGTTACATTGATGTTTCTAATGCCACTTGCTAAAAGTGGTAAGCTTTCCTGGTGAAATCAAGCAAATTTAAGGCAAAGAGTGAGTTTCTTGTTTTTCAGTGACGCCATCTAATGGCCAAAAATGCTACTTCATCCACACACACTTCACAACCCGTTTATAGAGTGAGCCCATTCATTCATCCACAGATCGTAATTTTGACCTGAACCAGAGAATGAGAGACACTAATCTCCAGTTCAGTACCCCCAGAGGTATGATTTGTTATGGGACCATGGAGGACTTTGTGACCCAACAGACTTAGCATGCACCATTCATTACAAGAGAAGTCTTCGGCCGGCGAAGACCGAACCCATGACCTTTTAGACATGGGCCCAACACCCTACCAACCAGGCTACCCCGGCCAAATCTATGTTGTAGTAATGTAAATAATGCGGCTAACAGTAAATGTAAAATTTTTAAATAGTAGAATTCCATTATAATTTGGAACATTAAGAAAATTACTTTTTTTTTAAAGAAAGAGACTTTCACCACATTTATTTCTAATTTCAAAAAACTCGAGTTAAAGAAATATTATGCATTTTTTTTAATCAAAAGTGTATTTGGCATATATGTTTTAAAATTTACAAATCTTTATTTCAAATTACCCTTGTAAGGGAAATTAATCAGCAGTTTATCGCGTTACGGAGGAGAGGAAACATATTATTGTTAGGTTAGTATTAATAATGCGCGATTAAACATATTAACACAAGTCATCTGCGAGGTCTAGTTTTAAAAAACGTACCGTTTTGAGGTACCAACTGCTTGAAATTTTTCTGATAGAAATATTTTGAATATAAACCACAGTGGTATAAATGGCAAACAGACTTGAGACTTTTTTTAGCAATCGTATAGTGAAACAAAATTTTAAACTCGTCGGTTTCTGCGAGCCTTAAAAACCGTGGTTTTACTCGGGCACAACTTTCACTTGTCACTCACGCTGGCATGCGTTCACAACTTTGAGATTTCACATTGATCTTACTGTCTTTGGCACAGTCCAATTTCATGTCAGCAGTGCCGGCGGTAGTGGTAGATGTAGCGCCCCGGGCCCTTCTGAAAACGGCGACCTTAACTCAATTTTGGAAAGAAAATCCTTAAAAAAAAATCCTTGAATTGTTTTGCTGGTGTAATCATATGATTACACCAGATGTAGATAAATGTGTTTTTTTAATTACAATATTTCTATCACAGAATTATAAAATCTATAGCAATCGCAAACAATTTTATAGACTTCAAAACCAGTTATTTTTGAGGTTTCCATTTTCGATATACATTACTGTTATACATTCAATACATAGTCATTTTGTTATAAACTATTTTAAAAATAAAAAATTTTTGTCATCGACTGCCGTAAAACAATTTATAGGTATATACATATATAGGTATATATAGTTGAAAAAGAACTATTTACTTGTATTTATGTACATTTTTTATATTGTTACCTAGAGGCTATGTAAAGTACATTTTCCGATGCATTTTTTTCATGCTGAATTAGATAAAATGAAATGAGATAAAATTCAAGTTGGTCGGATAAATAACTTTGAAATTATAATAAATTTCTTTCCTATAGCACAATTCAAAAAATTGTACTTTCTGTATAAAAAAAAAGAAGAAGAAAACGTTGCGTCTATTGAAATATTAGTATTTTTGATTTGCGCTTTTTTTTTAATTCGATTAAGCAAGAAAACATGTATAGGAAACAATATCTCACTTCGTTGTATAACAGCATGAGATGCGCATATAACTGCAAGAACAAGATTGTATTTTTCTGAACACAAAACCCTTATAACTTTTTAACTATTCATCTTATTAGATCTTATTTTATCTCTATCAATTCAGCATAGAAAATTACGTAGGAAAATATACCTTACACGCTCAGATAGCTCTTAAATAGCAATGAAAAGGTGTACATTAGTAAAAAAACGTATTTTTTTAATACACAATCCTCTTAAATCTTGAGCTACTCGATCTAGTGACTTGTGCATAGCCTCATTCGATTCAATGTGTAAAAATACAAAAGAAATAAAACATAATTTGTTTGAATAACAATGTCAGTTGCGTAATTTGTACATTTTTTAAAAATAAAACCTTTATATCTTCTAAGCTATTCATCAGATAATTTCAAGATTGGTTTTATTGAATTTAGTATAAAAAAATACTTCTTAAACAATAACTCAAGTTAAATGCACAAATTAAAATTAGCATAATAAGAAGCTTGAGTGATTTCCACTTTCCTCGTAGCATGATTTGATCCACATTTTTGTGGCTAATCCTTATAATTTGAGTGAAAAACATGAATTCGTCTTAGAAATGGATGCGAAAGGAGAAATTTCAACGAAAATCCATAATCCTTTTATAATGGACAATTATTTTGATTTAAAGTACTTATATAGAATAGGGGGGCTTTTTTTCTAAAAATTATAAACAGAACTACGTAGCTCTGTATTTCAGATACAGATTTCTAAAACAAAGATTTTTAAACAAGTTTCCAAATCGCAATTTTGTAAGAAAAACAATTAAAAGATGTGCAATACCTTTTAACGTCATTGATAACAGTGAATGTTCATTTTAGACTCCCCTCTTACAAAATAGTGATTGATGCATGGTACACGTTAAATCTGCCTGGGTCACACAGACAGACCAAGTTCAAACCAATATCTCTGGGTGTGCTGGATCGGAAATTGATCGTGCTCTAGTTCAGGTAAAAATTAAGATCTGCGGATGGAGGGATGGTGTGTGAATGTGTCCTCCATGTAAAACTGGATGTGACGTATGTATGTTGTCACCGGATCATCCCATGGATGATTCCCAGACCTTCACCAAGAGCTCATTGTGCAGCTCTAGCGTGACGTAAATAAAAGTACCAAGTACCAAATTTACGGGAACAAGGGAGAATGATGAGTATGTGGTCAACAAAAAGTAAATTCCTTTAAAGTGCACAAGAGGAATTTTAAAAATATAAGAAGTTTTCATTCAATTGGGAAGATGGAAGAAGATAACTTACCAAGTGGTCTTACGCGCATTGCTTTATTAAAATAATTTGTTAAAATTAGGAGAAAGATAAACGATGTGTTCATTTTTTGCTTTTCTGTATTGATACCATAAATAAAGAAAAATGTCTTCGATTTACGTCTTTTTTGTGCAATATTTCTCACTTATACAGCAACACACTGCATTTTCATAATAAAAAACTCTGTCGTTATATAGGGGAAGGCTAGTAATTTTTAAACATGAAATTTAAATTATTATTATTAAAATTTAAATTTTAATTATGTTTTAAACATAAAATTTTTGTATCCCTATTGTTAGAATTTTGACGGTGACTGGGAAACTTATCGTAATAGAGGATTTATCGCAACATGCTGTACTCGTTACATCTAGATTTCATAATTTATCTACCGCCTGCACTATCAATTTAAAATTTGCGTCTTGAATTATTTAAATAGCAACTGATGAGCTTAGTCGATTTTTAAATCAAAAAAATATTTAGAATATTCTTTTTTAAAGAAGAAAAGAAAAACCCAACAATTTCTGAAAATATGTTTTAGAGAATTATTAAGCTTAAGGGAAAAAAAAAAGAAGAAAAAAAAGAAAGGAAATATGTTATGACTGATACAAATTTATTATTTAGACAAGATGAATGCTAATTAGAAAATATTCAACGATTAATATATGTTTATTCAATAAATTATTGTTATTGACACTGAGGTCTAGTCACAGCAATGATTTTTAATTTAGAAGTAACATCGTAATTTTTGAACTGCACACAAATTAAATATTTCTCTAGCTACTGTAGACAATGCAAGATCCCACGGTGAACTGATAGTAAAGATATGGTTCCTGTAGAATATCGAAGTCAAGCATCTCTGGCTGCGGTCAGTAAGCGGATTGGTGACCACTTTGATTAGCCAGCCAGCGTAGGGACCGAGGGTGCACGGTATCGGTCCTCGTAAACTGTTTTACCTTAAAGTGCTCGACTTCGCGAGCAGGTTGTCGGGCTACCAAAGCAGGGCAGCGATCCTTTCGGTAGAGGATCAAAATTGCTATAGCATGTCTTCCGCTCATCCTCGGGGACAGGGATGTTTAGCAGACCGTCGCCAATAGCTCATTGTGCAACTCTACTGTGATGACGTGAATAAAATAGACAATGCAAGCTTTTTCTCCTCATAAGCAGATGTAGCAAAGGAACTTGTGTTCGCTGCGAATTGTCGCTTCGGCGGATTATGCCTGTTACGGATTGTGCTTGCGACGAATTGTGCACACGACGAATTGTCGACACAACGAACTGTGATTAGCCAGCCAGATGAATTGTTGCCATATCAAATTGTGCCTACGATGAATTGAGCCTACGATGAATTGTCTGGGACAAATTGACGCGAAACAGAAATAAAATACTTCTAAAATTAATGTATGAGGTGTCGGTTATGTCATTTTACTAGTTTTATTTTGATGACTCACAAAAAAATACACATTCGTTACGAAGAATTAGACAACCAGAAGCGTTGAATTGTGATATATAGAGAGCGCGAAGCAATGTAAATACGTATATGTAGATTTCGTAATGTAAACATTGTGTATATTTTTTGCTTATTTTTCTGATTCTCAATATGTGTTGACTTTGAATCAAGTTAAATAACTATTAAAATGAATAGACGAGACAATAATCAAACTAGTCAGCAGATGACGTATGATATATATGTGGGAAATGTACCCAAGACTGTATCTGAAGTGCGTAATGTACCACGTGTTATAATGTGATAAATATCTAGTTAAATAAATATTTGTTTGTTTGTACATAATTTGTTTTATGTTATTAAAATTCTATTACGGTTATTTCCTAATATTTCTTTTAATTTACTGATAATCTATCATGAAGCTATAGCTTTTAATGGGAATGTTCTATAAGTGTAACTGTTATGCCGGTTACACTCGAAAGAAGAAAAAAAATACAGTTTGTGTTAAATAAACTCTTTTTTTTTCTTCTTCTTATGCTTGTAAGTTTCAAAAATTTAATGTCGCTAGAAAAATATTTCATTTCCTGTTTTGTTTTCTTTAACCTGGAAGGACAGGCGCCTCCTGAACGAACATTAAGAAGAGGCGCGGCGGTCATGAAATGATTGCTGATTAAATTTCTTAAGTTTAATTAGTAATTAAGTTATTGCATTTTACTCGATATAATTGTTAAAATGCATACATGCTTGTGTATAGTAATTTTCATTTCTATTTCATCTTATTGGTGATAATACTTTGAAATTATATTTTATTTATATCTATCCTATTGCACTTAGAAATTATCTGTTCCTAGTGGAAAGAAAATTGTGCACAAATTCCTAGTACATTTCCATATCTGCTACAGAATTGTCACAAAGTCTGCCTGCAAGAAACACAGAATATATGCGTATACAATCTCAGGAGGTGACTAACTTGAAGGGTGCATGTAAAATATATTTGAAAAAATCCAAACAAATTTTTTTTTTAAATAAAAAAAATCTAAGTCTGCTTGGATTTTTCTTAAAAACCCACTGTTGGGTGAACGGTGGTTTTACCCAGCATTAGTGAAGTAATTACTTAATTGCTTTATTATGTAAAAAATAATTATTTAATTTTATTACTTTGTAGTGACTAATAAAAATGCGTATCTAATACATACTTTTTGTAGTTATTAATATTTCATATTTTATTATTATGATTACATAGACTTACTCATAATATATAAAGTCTTCGTTGTTCAGGGTTATTAGGTTATTCAAATTAGCTTTAAATATTATAAGCAATGAGGTAAAATTTAACTGATCTTTGATACAAACGTGAAATATTTAGAGCAACAAATAACTTAAACCTCAGATCAGGGCTATTGATTGTTTTAATCAGAAACAATGAAATTTTGTTTAAAAAGAAGTATAAACATGGGAAAAATGTTAAGCTTATGTGAACATTCTATGATAATATGAACCTTTTTCATATATTTCCTAACCCTCTGATGAATTAGTATATCTATTATCTGTCAACTAATATCTTTTAGTTGAAAACTTTAATTACTATTAGCTAATAATGCAAATACAATAGTCATCTGAATTGTTTTCTTTTTTTAAATACATTTAACACATTTTCTTTTTTTGCTGTCTGATGCTTAAAATAAGAACATTAAGTTCCTATTAAAAAGTTTAAAGTGTAAATAAAAATTTTAACTGAATATAAAATTTTCAGATTGGCTATTACCTAATAAAAATTTAATTGATCTGATATTTCATTAAATGATGGTTGTAGCAAATTATAAATAAACCATTCAATAATTTTTAATCATATTTTTTTCCACTAAAAATATCCTTTATCAATTCGGTGTTGCATATCAATTCACCTATATATTCAGTGATGAGTAGTATTTTTAATCATCAGTGATTTTGATAGATATATGAAAGTATGAGGACCCAGAATTTCTAAATATTTTATATTTAAAGCTATTTTAAATAATAATTTTTTTTTTTTATATTTAAGATTTGCTTAAAAAGTATCTATATACTTTAATTTTTTCGATACAAAATATAATAAAAATGCAATTAAAAATTAATCTACTAATTATTCTACAAAACATTAAAAACTATCAGTTTTCTTTGAAACTAAAAGCTCAAATTCTGGTGATCTTTTCCAAAATTAATACAATTTGTTTTTGTTTCAAAATTAATACATTTTGTTTGAGATTACAATTTGTTTTTTTCATATGCACGTGTATATAAGGCTGATTTGATCTTTAAAATAACATTTTGTTAAGGGAAGGGTAAAAGAATTATCACTGAGAATTGAATAATATGTATGTGTCTTGAATGTAAAAGATTTAAAATGAAGAAAGTTAAAAAAAAAAAAAAAAACTTTAGGCTATTTTATATTATCAACAAACGACAAATATGAGAAGATTCTGTATCCATGGAGACAGATTAAAATATAATGGTAATTTTTATTTAATATCACTATAGGCACAAATGGCAATCTACACAAATCTGTATAATCTGTTATATTAAAAAAAAATTTTTTTTGATCAATTATTTTATTACATTATTTTTTTTTAAAACTTTTATATGTCACCATAATTTATTACCTAAAGAACANATCTACTAATTATTCTACAAAACATTAAAAACTATCAGTTTTCTTTGAAACTAAAAGCTTAAATTCTGGTGATCTTTTCCAAAATTAATACAATTTGTTTTTTTTTTTCAAAATTAATACATTTTGTTTGAGATACAATTTGCTTTTTTCATATGCACGTATATATAAGGAAGGCTGATTTGATCTTTAAAATAACATTTTGTTAAGGGAAGGGTAAAATAATTATCGCTGAGAATTGAATAATAGGTTTGTGTCTTGAATGTAAAAGATTTAAAATGAAGAAAGTTAAAAACAAAAAAAAAAAAACATTAGGCTATTTTATATTATCAACAAACAACAAATATGAGAAGATTATGTTCCCATGGAGACAGATTAAAATATAATGGAAATTTTGATTTAATATCACTATAGGCACAAATGGCAATCTACACAAATCTGTATAATCTGTTATATTCAAAAAAAAATTTTTTTTGATCAATTATTTTATTAGATTTTTTTTTTTTAAACTTTTATATGTCACCATAATTTATTACCTAAAGAACAAAAATTATTTACAAAATTAAAATAAAATTATTTGTTAAAAATTATGCCTTTAAAAAAATAATTCTGAAACTTTAAGAGAAAAAGAATTAATAGTATTTTTTGATTTCAATTATGTTTAATTATTAAAGTAAATTTTTTTTTAGAACAAAAAAGAGAACAAAAGAGAAAAAAAATTATGTTTAAAATATTCTAAATTTTCTGAAATTACAAAATTCTGTGTTATTAAAATAGATTAGCACTTCGCACAACATTATAAATTTTTTTCACTGGTAGAAAAAGGTAGGAAAAAAGAAGTCTACAACATGTAAAACAAAGATGCAAGCATAATTTATTGATGAATACAAAAATTGTTTATGAAATTAAAATGAAATCATTTGATTAAATATTCTTTTTGAAAAATAATTCTACAAAAAAATAAATAATAATTATAAACAATTTAAAAACTATGTTTAGTTACGATTTTAACTATGTTTAGTTTTTTGAAATAAATGAACATTAAAAGTACATTTTTTTAAAGAAAAAAATAGTTTAGTAAACAAAGAAATTAATTTAAAACATTCTACATTTTTAGGAATGACACAATTCTGTGTAATTAAAATAGATTTGCCCTTCAAATGATGTTATAAAAATTTTAAAAAAAATGTATGAAAGGTACGGAAGAAAAGAAGTCTCCAAAATGTAAAACAAAAAAAAAAAAAAAAAGGACGAGCGATTTTGAGCAGAGGATAAATTGTTTACTTTATTTACCTACGGATATGTACATTTACAACTTTTCTATATACTGGTAAATAAATAAATAAACTTCGTACAATCAAAGTTTTTAATTACAACTGATCAATCACTTGTACCAATTTAAGGCAATGATGTAATTTGATGCCCATCCTCTGCTGTTAGCATGGAAGTAAGAAAAAAAATGTTTCATTTATCAACTTTATTACAATGATAAAATAAATCTGTTCTGTTATTTTTTTTTAACACCGAACAGAAAATTGTGTTCCTGGAGAAATCTCAAATTATTTTTTTTAGCCACTTTCCTACGATTTTTGCATATTTGGGGTGCTATAGCACATTAGCACATTAGTTAATGATAAATGTTTTAGCTATTGTTGCTAGGTTACATTAAACAAAATATTCATAAAAAATTTCTTGTGATTTGAAGAGTGGTGTCTCGATAAGTAATAATTTTCATTTTAAAAATATATACATTGAATTAGTGTAATATATTTCGACCCCTACCTCAGTTTTTTACATGCATTAATTTATTAAGCTTCTTAGTTTGTTCAGTTTTTCGTTGTTGACTATTTTAAACAAGATTTATTTTTTATAAGAAAATTGTGTTTGTTTCAGAGTGATATTAAGCAAGCTTTTATAAAATATGGAGAAATAAAGCAAGCTCTTTGTCGCTGGAAGGAAGATTATGCTGCTGTCGGCTATGCGTAAGCCATATGTTCAATTACTTACATTAAATGTTTTATAGATTTATTTATTGTATAAAAATCTTATTTTTAATTGTTTCTTTAGAATTGTTAAATTTGTCTTCAAGGCTGATGCTGAAAATCTTCTACAAGAAACTACGGAAGTTAGTTGGAATGGACATATATTTCCTGTAAAAGCTGCAAGAAGATCTGATCATAGGTAATAGATAATAACTCATTTATGATTAATAAGTTTCTCTTTTTTTTCTATAGTAGGAGAAAATTGTAAATAAATGGAAATAAAAGGAAACTGCTTTCAATTGATATTACTTGTTTAAGATCATGTATTTAATTGTTTTATTTATGCTTAACATTGTGTATTAATGCTAATTCTAGAGACGGAACTATAATTTATCAAGTGTTGCAAAAATTTTTAATAAGGGAAAATGAATTTAATGTTATTTCTTGCAAGTGAAACACATGTAATTTTTTTTATTAATGGAAATATATTAAATTTCTTCTGTGAAATGAAAACTGCCGCTCATGTTCATTGGAAATGTGTGTAATGCAATTAAATGTGTAATGTGTCAAATGTAATTAAAATATTTGAAATAAAATATAGATATTGTAATTTATCTTTTTGTGCAATTGTAAAGTTTACCTTGAGCTGTTAAATTTTGCTAACTAAGTATAGTTTTTAAAGAATCAAAAGACTTTAAAAAAAGTTGGCTTCTAATAAGCAGCAATTACTGAGTAAATTTTTTTTTTTTTAATTCAGTGAAAGTAAATAACAATGTTACAAACAGTGGATAACCTAAAAATATAATCTTATTAAGCTCATTTTGTAGTCTTATTGACACATTTATATTTGCTAACTGTTGCTACATTTGAGCAATAAGTAGGTAAATTGTGTAATTGGTTAATTTTTAAAATACTCTTAGAACCAGAAAACCTAACTATTGTGGAATTCCTGATTTCAAGTGAATGTTCATAGTATAAAATTGAACATTAGTTGGAGCCTAACTTTTCTACTATATTTTTTCTAGCCTGTAGTCCATTCCACTCAGGTTAGGTCATGGAAGGACCCCTGATGTAGTAAAACTGCTAAAAATAAATAATTGTTAAAAAAAATCATTTCTTAAAGTGAATACTATTATCTTTTTTTTATTCTTATTATTAACAAAATGTTTTTAAAACATTTTTTTTTTAAATTTAAAACTTTTTTTACAGCCAACATAATGGCAATATGATGATGGAAAGCAAGCCTTCCTATATTCCGGATCCTGTTCCTAAGTCATTTGTTTTAAATCCTTCACCTATTTTAAAAGGAGGTATAAATCAGTATTTTATTATTATTATTATTTTTTTTGTTATCTTAGCATTCCCAGCCATATTAATACGAAGATATGTTTTGATTCTCTTTTTATCTGCCGAATTAACCTCATACGTTACTAATTGTTTTATATTTGTTAAAAGAATGTTAGCTATTTATATACTAAACAATCATTTAAAAAATATAAGTAAAGTTCTAATTATTTATTTATTCAACTTCTCACATTATCTGACAACTTATGAAGCTTAATGTTGAATAGCAACACAAGAAAAAAATTGGTTTCATATGCTAGAAAGCTAGAACAGACTTTCTAGATTGCTTAAAAGAAAATAGTTATAGTAATTCATGGCTGTCAACTGATCCGATTAAATTGTGTTTGTTTGGATATTAGTCTTAAACCGAAAGTTTGAATTTGGATCAAAATAATCTGATTTTTTGGTATTTTAGCGCTTTCTTGCTCCTGGTAGTGAATTTTTTTCTACAGCTTTCATGACCAATCTGGACTATGCATTTTCGCACATAAACTATTTAAAATTAGGTCATTTATTGTTGAAAAGCGCATTCGAGTGACCTGAGAATAATGCAAATACAGTGCAACAATTGAGAACAAAATGAAGCATTGCACACACCAGGCATTGCTGGCTGCATTTATTTACATGCATGTTGTACTTGGTGTGATTAATCGTAAAAGAATCTCAAGAAATCAGAGGGTTTAAGCCTTTTGAGACCCATATTCTAAAGAATTTAATTTCATTTTGAAATCAATTAAAAGTGCCTATTTATTTTGCTATATGCAATTGTAAATTTAAATTTTCACATGGAAAAACTGACATTGTAGCACATGGCAAAATTGAAAATCATGCAGTTCATCAAAAAATAGCTCCAAAATGTTTGATTTTGTCTTTAAATTATTGGAAGCCTTCAATCAATTAAAGACATAGACATTATTTATAATCTCCTTAATGCAACATAACATTTTAGTTTCAGCATCGGATCGTGTAGAAATTATTAATGGCAATGTTTCCAAATTTCTCAATTGATGAAAATCACAATTCAATGATAACTTAATATACACTATCTGACCAAAAGTATCCGGACATGCAGTGGTATGGGCAAAAGTATTCGGACACCCAGTGGTATAGACAAAAGTATCCATACACCCAGTGGTAGGGACAAAAATATCCGGACACCCAGTGGTATGGACAAAAGTATCTGGACACCCAATAGCATGGACAAAAGTATCTGGACACCCAGTGGTATGGACAAAAGTATCCAGACACCCAGTGGTATGGACAAAAGTATCCAGACACTCAGTGGCATGGACAAAAGTATCCGGACACCCAGTGGTATGGACAAAAGTATCCGAACACCGAGTGGTGTGGACAAAAGTATACGGACACCCAGTGGCATGGACTTAGAGTGTCCTGAGGCACATATTAATATGAAGATCCCCCTTTTGCATCAGTAACAGCCTGCACACGTCTGGGAAGACTTACCACCAGTTTTTGATAGGTGGTCATAGGAATTGACTTCCAGGCTTCCATCGCAGCAGAAATGAGTGCTTGCAGTGAAGAGGGTCGATTTGGCTTTCTACGAAATCTGCTGTCTTAATTTGTCCCAAAGGTGTTCTATGGGATTTAGATCAGATCTCTGAGAAGACCAGTCCAGTTTTTAAATGCCCATTTCGTCAAACCCTGTCTGTGCAAGCCTCGATGTGTCAATGGAGTAGTTATCCGGTTGGAAGAGAAATGGGCCTCTCCCGAAATATTGCCATAGAGCTGGGAGAACCAGAATGTTCACATACATCTCAGTGTTCATGTTTCGAACCACAGGAACTAATAGGCCTAGACCAAACCAGGAGAAACACCCCCACACCGTTATGGTTCCACCACCAAGCTTAACAGTCATCACAATGCAGTCATTAAAGAAACGCTCGCCGGGCACCCACCAAACCCAGACTTGTCCGTTCGACTGCCAGAGTGTAAAGCGAGATTCATCACTCCAAAGAACAGTTTTCCACATATCCACAGCCCAATGACGGTGAACTCTGCACCATTGCAATTGATGCTTCACATTCTGTGGAGTAATGATCGACTTGTGTGTGACTGCACGACCATGGAATCCCAAGTTTTTTAACTCTCAACGAACAGTCCTGCTGCTAACACTGACGTCTGATGAACTTTGTAGCTCCTGAGAAATTTCCACCAATGGGGACTTGTGATTTTGTTTCACTACCCTTTTCAGAGGTCTGCAGATATGTTCACTAAGTTTTTGCGTCCTACCAAGTTGTTTTTCTGCAGTTTCGCTGCCTCCATGTTTCCACTTCACAATTACATCACTCACAATGGATTTAGGCTTTTGTAGAATGTTCGCAATCTCATGAACTGATTTCCCTTAAAGGTGGCAACTCACTATATTGCCTCGATCAAACCCACTATGCTCCTTTGACTTACTCATTGCTCCACAAACGCATAAATACAGAGTGACAAACCACTACCAACACTTTTATACCTTTCGATTATGCATCAAATTGTGTCTACCACCAGAACCACTTTTTTAAGGGGTGTCCGGATACTTTTGACTATATAGTATATCATCTAGTAGTGACATTTTTTGAGAAAGAAGTTTGAGAGAAATTTTTTGAGGAAAGTGAGTGTTTCTTTTACTTTCTTTTCCTATTTTATCAGAATAAAGGACTAGAGAAAATACTGCAAATTGAATCACTCTAGAGTTTGAAAATTATGGTATTCTTTGAAAAATTGCTTGTCATTTTCCTGTGATGATCTGAAATAATGCTTTGCAAAACAAAACAAAATTGCTGCTTACCTGAATAAAAAGTAAAGAATTCCAGTATATTCTTTTCCCCCCGCTTGTAATCAATTTGGCTGCTTTTGGCTGAAAGTAGTCTTAAACACTGCCAGTATCCTTTGATGATATTCTAACAAATATCTTCTAGAACTGGAACTTAGCCACGATGGCTCAGGGGATAGCGTGTCCGCCTTCCAATGAGGCGAACCGGGTTCGAATCCCAGTCGATACGAATTCCGCACCCGGCTTGCACCGACCACAGTGCTGATGTGAAATATCCTCAGTGGTAGACGGATCATGGCTTAGAGTCCCCTTGTCGCTAGGCTAACTGTGGGAGGTTCTCGTGGTCCTTCTCTCTATGTAACGCAAATGCTGGTTAGCTCCATCAAAAAGTCCTCCACAAAGGCAAAATTTCTCCTAATATTCCATCCAGGAGTTCCCTTGTCTTCTGGTTTGGGTTAAAAATTACAAGGCTACGGAGTTGAACATTAGTAGTCATAAACCCACAAAACTGGGTCGGCTGTTCAACCACGGTTATAAAATACAATAAAATATATTTGGAACTTATAGAAGATACAACTATAGTTCTCCCAATACTTGATCCAGGAGTTCCCTTGTCTTCTGAATTGGGTTGAAAATTACAAGACTATGTAGTTGAACATAAGTAGTCATAAACCCAAAAATTTGGTCGGCTGTTCAACGGCAGTTATAAAATAAAATTATATAAGTGGAACTTGGATTTGAAGCTTTTTTAAATGTTTATTGCATAACTAAATTTCTATAAGGAATAATATTAATTATTTTGCTATAGTTAAATAAATATTATGATATATTACAATCCAATCCATACAAAGGTATACATGGGGCACATTATAGTTATGTGAAGCAGAAAATTTAATTATAGCAAATTTTATAAAGAATACTGATTATTATGAACTTTTTATTCACAACAATTTTCTTATTACCAACTTCCCCATTTCCAGTCATTTGTTTTCTATTTATGATAACAAATGGAGTTCATTGGGGAAAATAAATTACTTTTTCAAAACGTATATAATCAATATATTGGTTAGTTGTTTGAAGAAGTAAACAATTACATTTTACAATAAGATTTTAAAGCTCTCTTTCAGTATATCTATGATAAATCTGTAATGTTATTTAATCTTTGATAAAATTTTGATTATTTCTGTGTAGGAAAACAAAATATTAAGTTTTTTCTGTAAAGATTTGACTTAGTTATTTCTTTGCATTTTCAGTTATTTCGTTATATTCTCAGTTATTTCGTTCCATGTACTGTTCTATTCAATTTATTCTATGTTTAGGATTATTGCATTAGTAGGGATGACTAGTTTTTTCCTAAGTGAGAAAAATTTCCTCAAAGGGGAAATGTTTCTTCCAACCTAAGTGGAAAAAACTGTTTTTCATTTCTTATCTAATATTAGAAGAATTTTTTTAAACAGTTTATAATTGCAATCTAGTTTAAGTAATTGTATAAATTTTCAAGCTATTTAAAAAATCTTTTTTAAATAAGTGAAAACTAAAAAGCAACTATTAGAAACATTAAACTTAATGAATGTCTTAAATAATTAAAATAACTGTTTTCAATACTTAACATGAAAGAGTAGTAGTAAAACATAATTTAGAGTTATTCAAAGATTCGCTAAAATATATTAATCGAATTTCATTCATACTGGTTAATTAACAAATCATATATTAAACATGCAAACTATTAGAAAGATGTTGAACATTAAAATGCATATTAAATATACAATTACAAATACTATATTGCAATATCAAATACTGTTAAGAATGAATACTCAAACTTAGATAATTTGTTGTATAGGTTTTAAATTTCTGCATAAAATTAAGTAAAGATGCTTTTTTTTATTTATTTTTTTAAAGTAGCTGTGAAAAACTAAACTTTCTAGTATTTTACTGAATTTCACTTGTTTAAGTTTAAGCTGTTCTAAAAATTATCGTCGCTAAAGAATTGTATTGGTCATTAAAATTTTTTTTCCATTTTGACCAGTTTCTTTTATTTTGTGCACTTTTTACAGTTTTCTCGCAGCGTCTTAAAAGTATCAGATTTCTTCTGGGAAAAAAAATCAAACTCATTTTTCACCGCAAATTTCAAGAAATTAATAAAGTGAATTATACAAAATTTTCTAAAAAATACAGTTGACATGGAAATTGGTTTTATTTACACGGAATTGCATATAAATTTGTAAATTTCAGATTTTATTTATTGAATTTGTAATGTTTAGCATTCTCTAATTATTATTATTATTTCTTTTAGACTTTGGTTATTTTCATCACCCTAATTACATTGAAGAGCAAAGTGTGAGTATATGAATGCAGTGTGTATTTCTGTTTTTGGTAATAAGTATTATTTGTTGCAAAATTATTAATCAAATTATATGCTAGTCAAGGCTTTGATCTGTACCATTTGTCTTGCATTTGATTTGTTTAATGTGAGAACTTGCATCTGTTTATAACTTCTGTTTAGTGGACATTGTCTTATCACCCAAAAGAGTTTTTTATTATTGAATAAAATGGTTTATTAAGTAACAAAAAACTAGAGATAGTGTAGGAAATTTTCTCATAACTTAATAATTGTATATTTAATAAGCATTTTAATGTTGTTCTGTCGTGAGAAAATTATACAAATTTTCTCGGTGTAGAGAAACTCGCATATAAATTTTATAAATATCTCATTATAACCAAAAACACAACACAGGTTTTGTTATAACAAAACTTATGAGGAAAAACAACATGTAAATTAACTCAAAAATAAGTACTTAAAAAATACAACTAGCACTTTTTTTAAAGCAACTCTTATTTAAGTCATTATATTTAACCGTATGCTAATATTATTTAAGCACTATGTATATGCAAATTCTAAGAACTTCCCCGGAATACAGTCTTTCTGATTCTAAATTTCCACCAAAACTAAATTTATTTTTTTTAATGTTTCTATAACGTTATAAAAATATTTTTGGAAAGTAAAGTTTCTACTGTTAAGATAGTAAATATTTAGTTGTAATGTTTTAGTTTTAAAATGTTTAGTTGCGGCGTATCTAATGGAAAATATTGTAAACGATTGAAAAATACTTGAATTGTTCAGAAAAAGTCATCTTAATGCAACTTGAAAAAAATCATTCTCCAAAACGCAATTAGTTTCACCGAATTCTCGATTTTATCGCATTCGCTGGGATGGCGAGTGCTTAGCTTAAGCCCTGGCTGAACATTAACCCAATGGCATCATTTGATAAGTGAGACTTGTCATGCATTTATTTTGAATAAATAAAAAGTGTTGGCAAAGTTGTTTAGCTATCACTTATATACCATCAATCTATTCCAGAAAGAGAGAATGCATTGATAAATATGACATCTTATAAATGTCCAAGCATTTAGTGAAGGTATCAGATTAGATTTGGTAACTAATAAACTTTAAAAAAATTCCTATCAAACACTTACTCACAGTTTTTAATTTAGCTATCTTCTCTTAGCTAGAAATTTAAATAAATTGGACTCCAAAGTGTTAAGGTTGGCAAATGCTTACAAAATTTATAACTTCACTTTTATAGCTTAAATATTTCTTGCTCTATCTTTTGATATTTATAATTAATATAACTATGACATAGTTTACTGTTGTTATATAGCTGTTAAATTTAGTAATTCATAATTTTTTTTTCCTTTTCTCTATACAAAGGAATAATAACAGGTAAACTTCTATGTGTTAAGCTTTTATTAATACTATAATTTTGGATTTAAAAAAATATATTTCTGAATCAGATAATGTAAAATCATATTTACCATGCTTTTGAATGAGTCTATTAGTATTATAGCATTATTATTCTGTATTATAACATTATTATTCTATTAATATGTATTATTTAGTATTCAGGAAAATTTGTGTATTAAAAATGCTCGAGCATGCAATTTAAGATGGACAATTCCGTGATGGTAATTAAATTTTAAATGTTAATGAAAATTTAAACCCCATTGTCATCTATTTTTTTTTCAATGCAAAAAGGTTTAATAAATATTAGATGATAACCTATTAGATTATCCAACAAAATTTTACCAAAATATATTTCTGAAAAACATTTTTGAATTAATATAGCACGTACCATTTTCTTCTTCTAAGCTATGATTAAAGTATAATATTGATTTGAGGCAATCTTGTTTTTGTGGTAATTTAAACTTTTTTATTTGTTTATTTTGCTTTTTAACTTTATTGTTTGGAAATTTTTTAGTAGATTATAATTACAGTCATTTATTGAAACAGTATATTTTTTTTAATTTAGCTAATTAAATGACTTTTTTTTCATTATTACTTTTTTATTTTTAGGTTCATTCAGTGCCTTTGATGCTAGAAGTTCTTTGTACGACTGTTGAAGATGCTATTACTTTTTATGGCTGTCCTGTTCATCGTTTTGATGAGCTTTCAAATGTTTCTCGTGCTCTTAACTACTTGAATGTGACTCAAACAAGAATGGACAAGAAACTTGTACCAAAAAAGGTATCATAGTTTATTTATGTTTCCCTTATACATTGTTTTATTGCTGAACATTAATTTTATTATTTTTTTAGTTTCTAATTTTATGACTATTACACTTTCTGATGACTGGCTTTTCTGAACTTAATTCAGTTATTCTCGTTTACAATAAACTGATTTTTTTTTTTAAAATTTGAAAAAAGCTTTGTTGGGCTTTAAAATTTGTTATAATAGTTAGCCCAGTCAACATAAAAAAAAGTTAGGTATAAAATTTTATTAAAAACTGATTTGACATTTTAAGCTGTTTTGATTGGTCAATTTAAATAAAGTGATTATTTGTTAATGCTAAGCATTTAAAAATCTTAATTTCATACATTATTTCTTATGTCTTTTAATATTTTATAAAGGTTTATGCAGCTCTGTATTCGGAAGATCGATCTTGGTATCGTTGCATTGTTGTTAGAACATCAATACCAAATAAACCTGGAATGGTATGAATGATATTTATAATAGCATTCTTTATATTTTATTTATTCATAATATTCTCCGCGAAATAAAATGTATAGTATTTTATAAAATTATTGTAGCCATATCTTTGTTTTTTAACTTCTGTTTTTTTCTTTTCCTATTGCTGGTTTAAAATGAAGATTCATTAAAAAATTTTATCTGCTAGATTTTGATTATTTAAAAAAAAGTGAGGTATCAGGATCTGTTAATTTAACACTACATAGTGTTTGTTTTTAATTATTATATAATAATTTTTATTGTATCTTATTGTTTAAGATTATTGTATAAGATACAATGAAAATAATTATTATCTTTGTTGTTTCTTATTTTGCTTATTTCTTTTTTATCCCAATGTTTAAAATGAGTTTCAATACATTTACATATTTATTTGTTAGTCTAATTTTGTATTGCTATATTTTGCTTTGGCTATATTAATACAATATTAGAAAGCACTCCTCTTTGTGGATTTAATCTGGATTATATTAATGACGGGATTATATCATATCATTATTTTGTTTTCTGGCTATTTAATATACATTTTTTTTAAATATTTAAAGAAATATTCCATTTTAATAATTTGTCTTCTCTTTTCATTAATGTTTATTATTTTATTTTGCATGTTTTCGCCATATTTTAAACTTATATATATAATAGCATAATAAGGACAAAAAGGATAAAAGTAAAAAGAGATTAACCAAGAAAATTAAGAAAAAAGTATTAAGTTTTATTATTTATATATTTATTATTAAATTAACTTATATGCATATTTTATCCTCGGATCGGGCAAGGTTGATTCAGCCTTTCATCTTTTCATTGGTTCGATAAAATTAGTACCAAGCATGCTTGGGGACTACCCCAGGGGCTCTGCTATCGGCTGACTTCCCAACTAGAACATCTGCGCCTGCACCTCAAAGCCCAAGGTCTTGAAAACTGGGATGGGTACAGGAGGCCTTCGTCCTTCATGGGCTGTCTCGCCCCTGAGTAGTTATATAGAGATAGATTTAAGGATCCTTAACTAATTTTTAAATAAAGTTTGGATGCATTGAAAATTTCGGAAATGCTTTTTTAATTGAAGCATTAAATTCTATTTAGAAAAAAATTATACTTATTAAACATAATTTCATATTTTACCTGAATAGTTAAAACTGCTTAAACAGAAGGAAAAAAAATGAATCTTAAAAAAACTCCTAACAGTCAGTATATAATTTTTTTTTGTGATAGTTTTTTTTCTTTCTTTTACTCACAAAAGCTATTTATAGTTTAATGTTTGAATTCAGTTACTTCTGCCTAATCCCATTAAAGAAACTCTTAAAAATGGTTACTCTTGAGATTTTCTTAGGGTGACATCCTTATTCATGCTTCATTGTCCTGATATTTTTTAAGTATTACTGAATTATTATATAAATAATAACTTTTAATTTATGGTTCATTTAATCTATTAATTTTTTACTTGCTACTGCTATAGTTTAACATGCAATTAATATTGTTAAATTTTTAGAAATTTAGTAAACATGTCTCTGAAGTTTTTTGCTATCGCTTCTAAGTTCAACTTTTTTCTTCGAGTAGAGTTAGTCTAATGATAACTTTATTTTTAGTATTGAAATAATGTAGCATTCAGTTGTGTTTCTTTGTATTAGATTTAAAACTTTAATTAATACATTATTTTAGTGCACAGTTCGATACATTGATTATGGAAATCAAGAAGATATTCCATACAAGAATGTTGTTGAACTTTCTGAGGCATTACAAAAAGTTCCTCCTTTTGCTTCTAAGTTTGTTTTTTTAAACTTGATGTGTGAATCAAAATCGAACAAGGTGAGTTGAAGTTCAAAGTCATTTAATGTTTTTTCATTTATATATATCTATATATTCTTTGGAATGCTTCACAATTAATTTGTATACTATTTATTTTTCTCTTAAACTGTCACCTGAAATAACTAAAATTACTTCAGAAATCTACAATTTTCTGGTTTTGGCTATTTATTATTATTATTGAGGCGTATTTCTGCCATATTTTTCTGAGTACAAACTTCTGACAAAATGTGACCTTTTTTCATTTTTGCCTTTAAATACAAATAATTCCCAAATCGCCAGTCAGTTAAAGATAATTTGAACAATTTATTTATTGATATGCTTTGATGTGCAACCTCGTCTTTATTTTTTTTTTTTTTAAGTCTGTCAATGATAATTGCTAAAAAGCAGCCTGGTTGAAAACATGCAAATGTCAAAGATTCTGTTTTCTATTGCAATTGAAATCAGGGTTGTCTAATGTAATTCGAATTAGTATTTTAGAATGTTGTGGTGTTGATATTTAATTATAAAATCACTTAAAATTGGACACTTTTAAAAATAGTGTTAAAAGGTACCTCATTGGATAACCACGAGGTGAGAGGAGAGGATAACCACGAGGTGAGAGGAGAGGATAACCACGAGGAAAGGAGAGGATAACCACGAGGTGAAGGAAAATGGTAGGGCTGAAGTAATTCAGAAACTATTATATAAAAATTAACAAAATTGAACTAGACATAAAATTAAACACTTTTAAGTGTTGATGTAGCTCATTTACGTGAGATGTGAGATAGTTCATCATCAAATAGTACATATGTGCGTACATGTATGTGTACGTACGTACATGTATGTATTTTATATATAGGGTGAGCTAGAGAAAAATATCACTGAATTAATTTGACAACTATTCTATTGCGAATCAAAAAATTAGTTGTCTGACGTTTTGAAAAGTGTCTTTTGATATGGCTTATTAAAAATAGTTATAAGCAGTTTCAGAATATTGAATATTTTAGGACATATGATATTAAATTTTTTAAAGTTATGGCTCCTTATTTACATTACTGACAAAGTTTGATATTTATAGAGTTCACGCCAGTGTGGCAACAATTGTCACCAAATGTTCTATGAATGTCGCTAAAATCATACATGTAGGCGACAAAATTGTTGTCTTGAAATATGTTTCAAAGTAACGAAATAGTTTTTTTTGTATGGAATGTCATGCATTTAAAAAAATTGTACTACTTTTATTGTTCTGCACTTAGGTTAGATTTTAGTTTAAAATTTTTCGAATGGAATAATTGAAATAGTCAGGTAAAAAAATTTAAATTTAAATGTTAATTTTTCCAGTTTACATGTTGTGCTGTGCTTTGTAATCATGGACTGACAGTATAATCAGTAAAATATTGATTTTTGCTTTTTAAGAATTGACTTCATTTATAATATTTAGATAATTTTTAATATAATATTTTGTTAGTTCTTGCATTCTCTGATTTCTTTCTTTTTTTCTTTATTTGGTCTAAGCATTTTAATCTAACAATTGAATCTGTTTGCTAATATATTTTAGTTTTTTTTTATTTAGTTTTTTTATTATTTTGTTTTAATAAATACTAATCTTTAATCATTATGGGATAATGAACCTAATTAGTTTTAGGGTATAATGGATGACAATTACTAATTTTTGATGTGTAACCATAACATTAATTATGCAAGTGTAAAATTTGATATTTTTTCTCAAGTTTGCCTACCATATTAAGTTTTTGGACCACTAAATGAACACCTAGGTGGTCCTATTGGACCACTAAGTTTTCATCGCTCTTGTCAACCCTAGATATTTATGACAATATTCAATATATTTATTTATATAATTTAAATTAAGCTGTTTTGAAGTATATTTATCTCACCTATACTGGAAAGAAATTAAGTTTTACCACATTAATTTTTCTTCTTCACATTGTTGTGTTGTGTGTGTTTAACATTATTAAAACCATTAAAGAATTGTGTCTATTTAGAATTTGTATTAATTTTCCATTACCCTAAAACCGTAATTATTTTCCTGGCTCTGCAAATTATTGTTTTTTTTATTTGCCTCCACAACTAAAATTTTTATTAGATATTTTTTTAATGATTTAAATATCAAAATTTGATTATAACTATGCAAATTTTAATTTAGATGTGATCTGGTGTGTATTTACACTTTAAGTACTTAAAATTAAAGTTAATTTCAGCAAACATATCTTCATCAACTAGCAAATAAACGAATGTCTCTGTGTGCTGTTCTTTCACCTGTTGGTTCTGAATATCAAGTTCTAAAATGTTCGTGTAATGGCAAAGATGTTATATCAGAAACTGTGAAGAAAGGTTTTGCCTCCTTCAGAAAAGTTCAAAAGTGAGGTTTATTTTTTATTATTACTAATATGTATATTATTATCGCAATAAGTTTTATTGATCTAATCCGTAAACTAGTGTTATGGTTTGTTTTAGTTTTTTTATATTTAGAGATATAAAAAAACTAAGAGATACCAGATTTTTTATATTTAGAGATACCAGAACCTTCAAGAGAGAGAAGCTAGAAATTCTTTGAAAAATGTTAGTTTTTATACATCCTTATATTATACAAATATATACCCTACCGTATGTCATATATGTAAAATGTAAAAAATTCTAGATACTTATTTCATTCTTAGTAAAAATTATATAATTGGCCATAATTGCAATATCTGACAATAGATGTGTAAACCAAATGTTTGTAAGATGCTGAATCCAACTATGATAGGGAAAACAAACTATTTCCAGCCCTATCCAAAGAAAGGGAGTGGTAGGTGGAGTTTTNTAGTAATGTAAATGATAACTCTATTCTGTGTTATTCAATCCAATTCATTTCCCACGGCTCAAAAAAAAAAAATTTTTTTTTTCCTCCAACTTTTTTTGAGTAATTGTAATTGATTGATATGATTAAAAGATGAAATGAGGTTGTCTGAACTTTTTGTTTCATTTTTATACATTATAGGTTTCATTTTTATTTTTGTTGAGAAGAAAAGAGTACCTTGATTTGGAAATTAAATTTTCTTGGGGATCCTACAGAATTATTAAAAACCATTATGACTGTGTGGACATTTTTCTTTATTTTTTATAATGCCTGGAATGGAAAACCTGTCTTCCTTTCTTATTTATTCAACAGACAAAAAAAATAGCAAATTCGAATAAGACATTATTTAAATATTCCACACCTACCATTTTATTAAAACCTATTCTTTCATATTGTGAAATTAAAAGTGATATATTTTTCCAAATCTTGGGATCATTCACGATTTGCATTTTTTAATGTGTATTTTTTTAGAAGTATACCTCTACCTAAGGGTCCACCACACCATAAAACAAGTGCAAAGCATACTAGTGAAGTTTCAGAAAACAAAAAGAATAAATCAAGTGCTTGCAATGGAACCAATGGACTTTCTTCTGAAATGCAAGAAGCATTCGAAAACAATCCCAATGTGAAAAAATCTCGTAAAAGTATACCAAAAAGCGAAGAAAATTCTACAATGGGAGAAGATGCCTCGAATGGAAATGTTGATGAGTCAGAGTTTAAACCAAAAATTATTATTAAAAGAGGTAGTGATCTTAGTAACATTGTTGGTAGTAAAGATTCGTGTGAAAATAAAAAGGAGAAAGAAACCAAGCAAGTACAGATTCCTTTGGTAAGTACTCTTTTATTGTATCGAAATTTCCTTTTGTAAGTTGTAGATTAAGCAAGCTGTGGTCTTATTCAACTTAATTTTTCTGATTTTTTTAAAAAAAATTGTCATTAAAAATATTCAAACGAAGAAGCTTAATGAATAATAAAAACATTTTATGGATTATGTAATTTTTTTTTTTTTAATTATTAAACCATAAACTCTATGCTGAATAATTGTGTTTATTGTACTTTACAAGAAAGCTTAATGTTTTTTATTTAATTCCAAAATTACCAAGATTTAATTTCAATAATTGTAGCATGCTATTAAATAGGTTTATCCCACATACCCTTGTCTGTTCATGTAATAAAAACAATAAGAATTAAATTGCCCTTTTTAGTTTTTAACAGCAAGGACCATAGAATTTGTATGCTGCAAAATTATACTGAGCTTTACTAGAGTTCAGTTCCTTCACTTTTAAGCTTTGAAATTATAGCATTTTAGAAAACTAATTTATTTGTTACTTTTTGACTGTGAGAATATAACATTTAAAAAAATTTATTTTTTGTAAGAGCCAACTACACGCTGCAATTATTTTTGCTACTATTAAAATTCTTTATGCTGTTTTATATTTTAATGCCAATATTTTCCTTTTTATCTAGCACTTATTGCAAAACTTGTTTTTTGTCTTTTCAACTTCATTTAAGAGAAGATAAATCTTTTTCAGATTGATACTGTCATTTCAAATTTGAAGTTGATTAATAATATCCGAGCTCTGGTATCTCAATCTACTGATGACAGCATTATTCAGCGTGCTGTAAATTTACTTCAAAGTGAGCTGAAAACATTAGTTTTACCTGAAAATGTCATAAGTGAAGTTAATGACACTTTTGAAGTCTTTATTCATTCCCTCAATGAAATAAAAAAATGCACAGAAAAGGTAAATTAATTATCTTTGTATATTTGTGTCTTATCTTACATCTAAAAACTTAGACAGTGAAAAGTCCCATATCTAGATTGGCCAACTTCAACAGGTCCGGGAAAACCTGTTTTCTGGAATGCAAACAAGTATTGATATTTTAACATGTCATTATAACATGCCTCGTAAATTGTATGAAGCATTTCATTTGATTATTTCTCAATCCACTTGATTAGTGACGATTCCACTGTGAATCAGTGTGGTTTTTCTCTGACTTTTTTTTGGATTTTTTTCTTGTTTTTAAAATTTTAATGTTATACGATATTTTGCTCTGCAAGCTTCTAACCTCACATCACTTTTTTAAGGCACTCAATTTTTGACAATTCACCCATACAAGGATTTACAATCACATTTCTGTCAGTTATTGTCACTAATTTTCATTGTTTTTAATGCTACAGATTTTTGAATTGCACATTTGAAGAATCACTTTTTTACTCACTGAGTTATTGACGATTCACTCGTAAAACCATGTGGTTTTAGCGATCGCATTTTCGCTATTACTGGGTTGCCACTCCACAGGGAGAACAGGGAAAACCTGGAAAATACAGGGAATTTAAAAATCACCTAAAATAACAGGGAAAATACAGGGAATTTGGATTTTTTCTTTACAAACTGGGAAAATACAGGGAATTTTGTTTCTATCTTTTGTCTTTTAAAAAATGGTAACTACTCAAAGCATAATCTATAGGATATTTAACCATGATATTTCAGCTATACTAAACTATTTCATTTACTATAGCATTATTTAAGTATGTTCAGCTGTTTTTCTAGCAATTAAAACTAATATATATAGTTAGCCCACTATAGCTCACACAAGAGCTCAGTAATTGTTGTTTCTTCTTAATATATCGCTTATAATATGTACAGGAAAAACACAGGGAATTTTTTTTTTCAGATTTGAGTGGCAACCCTGTATTACCACTGATGTTTACAAGGTTTTCAAAATCTTTTTTTTTTTTTTTAAATGCTTCATTGCTTTTAGCGCTGAAATTTTTGAATCCCTCTTTTGAAGAAATCTCTTTTTGAAGAACTGATTATGTGATGATTTTATTGTTTGAGTGGTTTTTGCAGATTGCATTTTCATCAATTTAAGATTTTCATATAAATTTTTAATATTTCGATTATTTTTCTGGTATAGTAACACTTACCATCTGAGTACTTCGAATCATGCTTTTAAACACTTTATGACGGGATCTAGTCGTGACAATTTCATTTTAAATCCACAATATTTTTGCATGTAAGGGTTTTACGCATTCTAAAACTGAGTGCATGATTCTTAGCAATAATAATCTTTTTATGCAAAATGAGAAAAAAATTAAATTTTTTTTCTTCGTGCTGAAATGCCTTTGAAATCGTAAATCATTTGTGTAATGTTCATTTTTTTTTATATCTTATTATAGTGGAGGAAATCAGATTAAAATCAAAATTCAATTAGAAGTCAAGTAAAAATCATTAAAAAGGGAAGGATTTTCATCCTTCATACTTTTTATTGATAAATCGCAAACTTAAAAAAAGTGGAGAAAAAAATGTGTAAAATGTAAAGAGTTTTTTAAAATTTTTTTTTTGTTAAGTATTATCTAGAAAATAGACATTCCAGTAAACGGTTGTCCAGATATGTGGATGACTTTATACTGTATTTCAAAGTAACTGTTACTCTAGATTAATTAATTCTATAATTTTCTTACAGGACTTATTACCAAATCTGAAGTTGGAAAGAGATTTAAAAAAGAATTTGCTATGTGATAAATTAAAAGAATTTTTGGAAAACTTTTATACTTCAATATTTGACAGAAAGAAAAAAATATTGGTAATTTGATATTTAAATTACTAAGATAGCATGACGTTTATTACAGTACAGTCGAATCTCGATTATATGGCACCCCATCATGTGACTCTTCCGTTACCCAACATACTTTTGAATGTTGTGTTAAAAGTGTTTAGAATCACGTCTCATTATTAGTACATATCCATGGAGCAATGAATAATTCTAAAAGTTAAATTGGAAAACCATATTTTGACAACCGCTATTATTAGAGAACAAGGCAATTTAATTTTGAAAGCCCTATAGTATAAAATGTGCAATTGTATATAGATATTTTTTTTATGACATCAGAAATTTGCCTGCTAGGCAACAATTGTTTTTTGTTCTTTATTAATAAGTTTTTCAAGTTCTGCAATTATTTTTTGAAAATTTTTTATAATCACTTCTTATTTTAATGAATTTTATCCGCAATATGAATATTTTTACGATTTGAGTTAATTTGTAAAGTCCCCTTATTATCCAATTATTTTAACTTTCTGTGTTAGATAATCAGCGTTCTATTGTAATAAAAAAAATTTCATTTGAGTGTAAAAAAATTCAATATTTGGTTTATCTTTTCTTGCCTTTAATCTACACTTGAAGAACATTTGAAGGAAACATTTTTACAATTTGTTTTGCAGCCAAAATAGAAATTTTAAAAGAATTAATGATTGTTTTTTATGATTGCAAATATTGTCAAGTATATTTTTACCTTTTTTTTTAAAATGATTTTTTGTTTAAAATCATTAAAAATAATGACAATATAATTAAAAAAAATCCTGTGAAAGTTGGAAGAATTAATATGAATTTGAAAAAATTGCGGATATGGATTAACTGTTCTTTTAATGTTGTAACACATTATAAGAGCTGGTAATCCATATCTGCAAATTTTATGCCCTTTTATGATTTTCCATGTGGGAATGTTATTTAGTTTTTCAAAAAAAAATTATTGTCAAATGTTGATTAATATGTACTCAGTAGTTTAAGTGCCCTTAATATATCCAACTGTTGTTATTTTTCTAATACATTTTGTTTGTTTGTTATGTAGCAAACAATAACAGATCTTGCAAGTAATTCAAATGATTGGATGAATGTAGAATTAAAGTCAGTTCCACAAAGTATTGATGAACTTGTATTGGAATATAATAAAGTTAAGGTTTGTATTATTTCTTTGTACATATCTAAATTGTGATGAATAATTTAGTACCATTGATTTAAAAAGAATGTTTTTTTTAAAATTTAATCATACGGGAGTTGAGAATAACACAAAATAATATTAACTTAAAAGCATCAAATGTGCTAAAATGTAACTAAATTAGCGTTAATTTTTCATGTTAAAGTGCAAGCTATATTCCTAATATTAATAGACAATTACTGCATCTGTAAAAATTTTTTTATTTTCTATCATAACTTATTGCAAATTCTCTCCTGAAGCCGAAAATCTTATTGTTTTTTCCCCCAAGTGTTTATTTATTTAGTTATTAAATATTTAAATTGCCCAAAAAGGCCTCCGTAAGTAATGCTATCAAAAACAATCTCTAATTGGTTATGACATCACATGTGCTGAGTGGAAACTTTCCTCCTCCATCTGCTAAGGATATTTTAATGCTGTTTTAGTTTTGATATCATTTATACCATATGAATATCCTTTGTAAATTATTAGTAAAATTTTTGTGAATTAAATTCAGGGTTTGGAGAGTGTGTGCAAAATTGAAGAGAAATTTTAAAACTTCAAACTGTTTATTTATCATTAAAATATCTGAAGAAATGATTATGCAGCTCTTCACAGCTGATAAACATTTCTTTTTGGCTGAAATCCGTGGGGTTAATAGAAAATATTATTTTATTTGACTTATTTGACCTACAGCCTAATTACTTAGTTAAAATCAATTGTAGATTGGATAGTATACATTTAGATATAGGATGGATGGTTTTATTATTCAGTATTGCATTAAAACAAATTAGTATTTTTATAAATCTAGTCCATTGAAAATTATGAATCCATTATCGTTATAATGTATTTGTCAATGCTTCAGAATTCAAATAATGTAATTTAAGTTTGCTTCATTTTTTTTCTCCTTTTTTTTACTAAAGTTGAAGGATTTTCTTTTTAAGTAAATATTTACTAGTGTAGTTTATGTCTTCTTTTTTTTACTATGTATTGAATATTTAATTACGCATTAAAGCTTATATTTATTACTCTTTGAATGAATCAAAATTGTGCTTCAGTTAGAAATTAAAGAATAATAATAAAGTAAAGAATGTAAAAAGTAAAGAAAGTAAAGAATAATAATAAAAAATAAACTTATTAAAAATGATAAGAAATCCTAGTGTACATTCTTTATTATTTATTAAATAATTAAAAAATAGGCTATAATGTTGATATTTTTCTCAATATTTTTATTCTTTGAGTAAATAGAAACTTTGCAATGGCAAAAAATTATTTTTATATGCATTTATAAAATTTAATTGCTGTTTCTTTAATGTAGAACTAAAAAATGCAAATGCTGGATTTCAAATACTCTTATAACATAGATTATCACAATTAAGATAAAATTAATAAAATCTGCTGGAATATATAAATTTTTTTCTCTTTTAACTTTAAATTTTTTTGTTGAAAGACAGAATTTAGAGTTTTGCTGGGATCACAAGTCTTTTAAAAGTCTACTGCTATGCTGAAGACAATTGCCTGCTTTGTATTCACGCTAGAATATATAAATAAAATATATCAATAACTTAAGCTTTTCTACATTTTAAAATCCAAAACTATTCTATATAAAAAAAATTGATTCAACATTTCTTATACTTAACATGAAAATAAATCTTCAAAATTAATTTGAAATATACTTTAAAATTAAAATTGATGTAGTTAAAAAATGAAAACAAATATTTTTTGTTTTTAAAGCGCATCATTTTAATAAGTAATACCAGACATATGTAACTCATTCTAACACATTTTTTACTGAACTAAAAAATCTTAAAATATTCAGGACTAGAAAATTTTGTTAACTATTAACAATGTTTCAGTGAGTACCATTGAAATTAAATTAATATGTAATAAAAATACGTTATATTAAATCCACATTTTCTTTATGCAATATTAGGGCATGATTAATTATATAGTTATTGACCATTCTATAATTGTTCGATTTAATTACAAAAATTTAAACAGAAGCAAAAACGTATTGGCTTTCACAAGCACAACGATTATAAATGAATGGCAGATAGACACGTGTGATACCAGTTCGTGACTAATCATGCGACTCCCCATTTCAAGTGAAGACGAAAGTAAGCATTTCTTGCTTAAAAATCACTTAATAAATAGCACTCTTAGGAAAGTAATAAAATGCTTCGGGGAGTTTTGAGGGATTCTGAATGCATTAAGATTTTTAAAAAAATTTCACTGTAATATTCCATTCTGCATACTGTAGAAATATTGTTTTGTTTAAAAAATATGTTTAAGATCATTATATTCAAGATATGATCATTGTTCAAGAATAAATAATGAATTTAAAGGTCTAATTTTTTTCAGGAGGAAAAATGGAATTCTGTTCGTACTGCTAGAGACAGAACTAATGAAAAGCACAAAAATTTCATGGGTGTCTTTGGAGAATTGCAAAAGGTAAATAAGTGAGCATTATTTTGTGTAATAGTTGATGTAGTAATTATTTAATGAAACAGTTAAACATTATACAGTCGAACCTGCCTATCTCGAATCTCGCGGGAAAGGGAAAAAAATTTGAGATAGAGAGGTTTCGAGATATACAGGTAAGTTTAAAAAATGAAATTCGAGTAGCAATGTTTATTAAAAGAAACTTTAAATCATTTATGTTGTAAAGAATTTAATTATGATTACATATTAATTACATCTAATAAAAGTTTTTAACAGTCATACGCACCTCATAGGTAGTCTTTTAATGATTTCTGACGTCGGATTTTCTTTGATTCGATAATTTTTCGAATGTTGGAGAGAGCAGCGAACCCCTCGTGTCCAACGTTTTCTTGACATTCAAGAAAGTTTGTTAAACGTTCCACAGCTTTTTCAGCTTCCTTTACTGTCACTTTCGGTGCTTCTATATGCTCTTCGTCTACTTCATTTTCGTCTTCGGAAATGCATCTNTACTGCCTTTAAAATTATCTTCATGGCCAAGCTCTTTAGCAAAATCCTCAGCTTTTTGTTGCATTATTTGTCCACTGATAGGAATACCGCTGCTCCTGCATTGTGTAAACCATTTTAAAACACATTCATCCACGTCCGGAAAAGTGCATTTTCTGCTTTTTTTCGCATTGTTGTTGCTGCTATGAAATTTTTGCTCCACAGCTTCTCGATTCTTAATAATTGTAGAAAAGTGCTTGCTGGTAAACCGAACTTCACCTCAACTTCGTTTTTTTTCATTAATGGATTTCCGTCCAAGAATGTTAAAATTTTCATTTTTTCTTCAATGGAGAGAACATTCAATTTACATTTAGCCCCTGCCATACTTAATCAAAATTCAATTGAACAATGTTTTAAAAAAGACTGAGACGCTCAAACCAACGACCTCCTAAAAAAAGTCTACTGATAAAATGAATTTCTCTTTGTGTTGTTCTTATCCATGTGTGGAAACTGATGCCTAGTGGTGACGCCCCCCTCATCAATCAACTTTTCATTGTCCGAATACACTCAATTGGTTGGAGAGTGTGACGATAGTAACCGGAAATTCCAAGAAACGACCCCCCAATCTGCTCATTCTTACTTCCCATGGGGCTATGGAATTTTTCGGTTCTTCTAATGTAGCTTGTTTGATACAGGTTTTCGAGATAAACAGGTTCAACTGTATTTTTATTTTATTATATTTTACATGAAGTATTTAAATGCCTGTTCTCTCTTTATATCAAATTGCATTTCAATTAAACAGTTTCAAAACTCAATTTGTATATAAAATAATAGTCAGTTTAATCTAAAATTTTCTAAGCATGCCACTAAATAATTAATGTAAGGAAAATTTTAAGAAATTGAAAATGCAAGATTGTGTAAAATTTGGAAAAGGTTTATACCTTGTTTCAATGAACTGATTCTGTTTTGGGTTTTTTAGTATTCCCATTGTAATTCAAGCATTCTTTATATCAGTGTTTCCCTAAGTGTGGTACGCATACCCCCAGGGGTACGGGTACAGTTTATCGGGGGTACGCGTTCTTATTCAAAAATATTTTGCAACAAACGAAAATTTCAAAAAATTTTATTTCGAAACAAAGCTAGCCAGGAAAATTTACAATTATGTATTTTTCTATTGGCTATTTTTTGCAAAGTTAGCAGTTAATAATTAATGTTGTCATTAGCCAGTTGTGATTTTTAACTTTTGTGCAATTTTTTATAGAAAAAAAAAACATTTATTTTTTATATTAGTGGTAGACAGCATTACGAAAAATTTAGAAAGAGTGCACAAAAGTTATAGGTTTGGGAAACACTGCCTTATGTAAACCTTAAAAATTTGCAGTAATATTAAATCACATTAATTTAATGTTGAAATTGAAGCTAATCATAAAGTTAGACAATTTTAAAACAAAGCCTAAGAATTGCAATTCAATGAATGTCATTTGAATAGTGTCATAATCTAATTATATCTTAAAAAATTAAAAAGTGTAATTATTTGTTATAGAAATTTCATTTGGATACTTTGGAATCTGATAACACTAAAAGTGAAACAGTAACTGTTGAAGGTGAAGGTAAAAGAACATTGTACTCAGTCAAGTTTGATGAAACACTTAAAGATCTTGGAAAAGCAGTTGATGAAGAAATTCTAACTTTGACTTTGGTAAATAAAGTATTTTATCATTAAATTATTATAACTTTATTAAAACTTGTTATAACTGGCCCTAATTTAGCTAAGAAATTGCAAGTACTTGGTTAGTACTACGTTAAATCTATAGGAGCATAGCCTGCTTCTAACCAGTACACCCGTATATTTAGTTGTAAGAGTGTGTTTGTACATAATTTAATAATTATATATTTATTGTATCTATATTTTCTATATATAGTTATATTAAAATTACATTTTTTTATGTATAAAGCAAAAAATTTATTCAGCTGAAATGGTTTTAGCCAAATAATAATCAAAATTTTTATAGTTAATCTTTTTTTTTGACGATTTTAGTTAAAAAAATTTCATATTTATTATTTTTGTTTATAGTTTTAAATGTTTTTATTTATTTTTTCCGAATTTTTGACATATTGACTATTTCTTCCGAATTTTTGACATATTTAAAGTAATATTGATAATACATGAAATGATGTTGAAACTTTTGTTTAATTGAAATTAATTAACACATTCCCCAAAATGAATCCTTTGAAAATAACATATTTGAATTTTCTGAGAGAAAAAAAAGTTTTACAGCTTTGTAAATGTTCATAAGAGCCATTTTTAAATATTTTTAAATCTTTGCAATAGGACTGGATGATGCATTGATGCGTTAGAAAATGTTGATGTTCTGATGTTCATTTTCATATTTGTTTCACAATTGCTTAAATTTTATTTAAATTAAAATCTAAGCAAGGTTCATACAATAATAAAAATTTTAATTTGATGAAAAAAATTTTTCATTCAAAATGGAGCCTAATTCTTTTATATAATGTTTGATATGAATTTGTAATTAAAGATTTTTGGAATTGTGTTTTGAATTTAATTGATTAAGATTTTCTGTAATTTTTTAAAATTTGGATGGTATTGAATTTGTAAGCTGCTTATCTAAGCTTTCCCCCTCAGTTAATTTTCATGTAATATTGCAGTTATTATTTGTAATTTTGCATGATTCATTAATTATTCCAAATAATTACTTTTTTTTTGTAGAACAAGGGAAAAAACACTGTATCTGTCATTCAATGTCTGTTAACAGAATTGGATATACACAAAGAAAAGATTGAGTCAATTTGTGAGTTGTATGAAAACAAGTTGAAACTTTACAATGATTTATGCCAAGTGATTGACTCTGATGCTGTTCTCTTGCAACTTACCTCCATTCAAGAAGAAGTTTGCAGCTCCCTATTACGCTTAACTCATTGTAAAGATTCTCAAGAGGTAATAATGAAAAGCACAAATGTTATTCAGTAATAATAATTGAAAGCAATTTACAATAAATAAAACTGTTTGTGAAAGCAAATTTTCACCAGATAATGCTATGCATTTCTCAATGTGTTTGCATTGTATATATTTTTTAAGGCTTACCGTAGAATTTAAAATTATTCTCGCAGCATAAATGACTTCATTAAATCACTTCTAAATTTCTTAAATGTTGCATGAATGAATTTAGAATGTGATTAAACTAATATTGGATTCATCTACAACTATTAGCATGTCGATCTTTTATAATTTTTAGACCTGAATTTTATCGAATTCAGATTTTGAGAATTTGTTTTAACATAGTGTAAATGAAAGTTTTGTTTAGTACTCCTTTTTTAAATGTATGAACTGCTTTAATTACTTTTTTTCAGAATAAAATATAGAATAAATAGAAATATAGAATAGTTCAGAATAAAATTTAAATTTTTTTTTTTTTTTTTTTTTTTTTTTTTTTNTTTTTTTTTTTTTTTTTTTTAACTTCAAATTTATTTCTAAGTTCTAAGTCAGCAAGACTTAATTTTTCTAACATCTGTCTTCAGGCTTTATTTTTTTTTGTATTGCAAAAGGACTTTTTTTATTTAAATATATCATTACATAAAATATGTTCTTAAATTAATGTGCAAATCTTATAACAAATTTTTACTTAAATATATTTTGTTGTAAAATATTCCATAAAAATAGAAACTTATTTTTTGACAAATATAATTTTTTCAAAATTCTGTATTTGTCAAAATTCCAAAAATGGTGAGAAAGTCTGGATTGTCCCCATTGATACGAATTTTAAAATTAAATAACATGCAAATTAGTTTGTTTTCATGCACCTTGTAATTGGATTTATTCTCCTATTTTTTTATTTTCTTTAAAATTAATTTTGAAAAATAAGCTGGTATTCTTCATTTTTACATGCCAAAGCTTTTGATTTTTCTTTCAAAATAAAATTTATCTGTAAGCCTTCTAATTTTCTTTTAATTATTTACTTTTAGTTTGTACTTTCTTTGTTGGTGTTACTTTGGTTCCAGTTATGAATTTTCTGTCTAAAGAAAGAACTATGTTCATTTCTCACCTGTTGGTCTAAATTTTTTTTTAAAATATGTATTTAAAAATATAAAAGCATCACCTCTATTTCGTAGAAATATGAAATTTTGTTTTTACTTTTTTTTTCTCATTTACTTGAATATTAGATTGAATTTCAATTCTACTCTGAAACTGTTGCAAAATGTAAATAACTGCTTTTAAATATCTGCTACTCTAAATAATGAACATTTTTAAAACCATTAGATTTCTTAAAATGCTATTAGATAAAGGTGGATTATTTGAACCTAAAAATCCACAGATTCCTGATTTAACCCACTGATGGTTCTGCACGTAAAAAATCGTATTTTAACCTGCAGTCTTCTCCGCACAGCAAAACCGGTTTTCCCACGTTATTAGGTAGAAAAGTGGTGTATTGGGGAGGAACATTTTCCCAATTTTGCCCATTTGCTGAACCGTCAGTGGGTTAAATATTGTTATAAGAGATGATCTAAATATTGTTACATAGTTCCTATAGTTGCCTAAATTTTTTTGACAAAACTGAGAGTTTATTATCTGCTCAAAGGAAATTTTATTTTAAAAGAATTTGAACTGATGGGCTAAGTAGGTTTAAAGCACTTTTGCAAATTTTTTATACTTTTCAAAATTACGTATAGTATTTAATTTCATATATTTTGTTTTCTTAATACAGGGATGAGATTTTTCCGCTTTTTAGCGGATTTCCGCTTTTTTGTCTTTTATCTCTTAAATTTCAGCTTTTCTATCAAAAATTCAGATTTTCTAAAAATTTCACTTTTTTTTTTATAAGTTTCACCGATTCAGAAAATCGACCTTTTTCAGAAAATTCACCGATTTTCAAAGAGAAACAGAAAATTCCAGCTACATAGCTACCAATCTTTTCTCATTTTTGCCTATTTTAGCTATTTTCTCCCCTTTTACACGCAGCAGATAAGATTTTCCGAATTTTTTACCCGCCCTCCAGATAAATCCGATTTTCGTAGTTCAAACGACGCTGCTTCTGACAAGCCTTTTAGAGCTCCCAAGCCTGGAATCTGCTAATATCTCGATTCTTATTCACACGATTTTAATATCAAACATAGCTNCTTAACCTACATTATCCTTAAAATTGTATTATTTTTTCAATTGAACAATTTGTTATGATACGTTACTATTTTATTTTAAGGAAACTTTATCAAAAGCTTCTCAAGAATTCTTTCCTGAGTTATGTGTGGAGCATCCTGAATTGAAATTGCAAGAATATTATGTAAGTAATAAAGTTTTTTATTTTAATATGATTTTTTTCTATTGTGATATAATAAGAAATCTACTTTAAGTTACAGGGTTGTACGTTACTATCAATTTTTTTTAATTTTTATGGATTTTAGTTGAGACAATTTATTTATGAATGATTATTGAAAACAGAAAAGTCCAGTTTTTAATTATATTTTTATAGATTCAGAGAATTTCAAACTCTTTTTAACAGTTAAGTGAAAGACAAAATTATTTATTTGTTTAAAAATCAATATTCAAAGCAATTGTTCTTTTGTTAATATTTAAATACATTGTCTATTGTTTATTAAAATTGTTTTTATTCTGAATTTTTTTTAACGCTAATGTATAAAAAAGTTGTTTAGTCTTATTCTAAAAATTTATTAATTAATATATATCTTACATTTAAAAAAAAAAAACTTTGAGTCTTCATAATTGGCCTATTATAGTTAAAGATTCTAAAAGTTCATAAAAGTTTGTTTAAATTATTATAAAAATTTTGTTATTATTCATAAAATTTTGTTTGCTATTCATAAAAAAATAAGACTAACCAACCATTGATGGCATTCAAAATCTGTACTTGTCTTGGGTTTAAAATGATACCTCTTAAAGCTTAGTAATATTTTATTCATTATTTATCAACATATCAAAATTTAACTTAATTCAAAGAAAAACGGTGGATTCAATATTGTTTGTTGATTATACTATTTTTTTAAAGCCAAAAATACTTTCAAGCTTAGTAATGGCTTAAAAATTGCTGAAGGAGTTGAATTCATTGAACACTGAATTAAATTCATTTATATTTTCCATATATTTAGGTCCCCCAACACTTTTTTTACATTATTTTTCTCTTTAACTTTCAGTTTCTCCAAAAATTGCTATCTAAACTTTGTTCTTGTTTTTTATATGCACTGTAGCGTGTGTAACAGGGGTGTTATTAAGTTTATGCTACACAACTTGAGCAAAAATATTTAACCAGCAAATTTGTTTACTCCTTTACGCATATAACACTGTTATGTTTAGCTTTAAATAGCATGTTATTTAATTATAAAATCCTAAAACCAATAAAAATGTTCAAAAAATTTTTTTTTAAATTTTTTAAAAAAAGGGATCAGTTTGATCAAATCATAAACATTATTTTTTTTATTTTAATTTTCAGTTATTAATTATGTATGATATGTTCACTAGCAAAATTTTTATTAACGAAGATTATCAGTTACTAAAAAAATCTTACATTGTTTATTATTGGCTAGTGATTTAGTTAGAGCTATTTTTTCTTTAACTGCTTAATTTAGTGTGGAACAGTTTAAGCTTTTAAAATGTTTAGGGTTTTTAAAGATATGTATTTGTATAGGACTTATTCTATTGGAAAGAAAGTCACTCCTTTGAAATATAATTTTAAGTTATTGGTTGCATGCAGATTATTAACAGTTACAGATAAATGAGTATTTTGTCACTTAAAAATAAATTTAGAAACGATGATAGAAAGAAATTTCTATTTTTTCTAAATCTGGATATCTATTTTATGACTAATTTAATTGTATTAATATTTTGTTTTTTAGCAAAGCAAGTTTCTGTTGAAGTATAATTGGAAGCCTGAATATTTCTTAAATTTTGAGACTGTACCTAACACAAAATCATCATATATATCCAAACTGTTGGATGATCCTATTGTTATTAAGGTATTGCTTAATTCAAATTTTCCACTTTTGCAGTTCTTTCGTTTTTCAATTTTTAATTCTTTCTTTAATTATATTTTTAGGAATACAAGCATGACAGTAAAGAAGATATGACTAAGTTTTTACAAATTGCCTTTCTTTGGAATGATTGCAAATGTGAATACTTGTTGAAGATCAAAGCATTATTTTTTAAGGTATCTATTTGATTTATTGATTTGCATTTGATTTAAAAAAAAGACAATTTACATTTGATTACATATTACATATTGATTTACATTGATCTTGATTCTTCAATGATATGCTGGTCAATTGTATAGGTTAAGGATATTACAATGTAATGATTTATTGCCTTAGTTCACTCTTAACCAAAAGTATATATAAACCCTTATTTTCATCCACAGAACATTTTTTATGCTGCAGAGTGTTATTTATAGTTATATATAATATTTAACTCTTTTTATTAGACGGAAAATACCATGTGTGTTATTTGCCCATCGGTGCCTCATTCACTTGTAGAATCTCCGCCCACACCTTTGGATGGAGAAAAAGCATGTTGTATGCTCCGGCAAGTGCTGGTATGTCTGAAAGAGCTCCATTCTCACAAAATTGTTTTTGGCGCTGTTCATCCTTCAACAGTTTTGATTGAAGAGAAGAAGATTTTACTGGACTTTTGCTTTAATCCGGTTAGTTTCTTTTATTATGTTATTAATCTTAACTTTTTACAAACATAGTCTGTTAATTTGAAATTCGTCCCTCACCTTAATTTCAATCAGGATTGTTTAACACATATTTTGGAATATTGCAGAAGGATCTAGATGATAGTATTCTAAAAGGAATCAACTTTCATCCTCCCGAGCAGGAAAACTCTGAAAAACCAGCTGATATGTATGGATTTGGATGCTTAGTGCTATGGGTAAGTCATTAAAATATAAACCCTTTGCTCACAGCTGATACAGCATGTGTACTACTCGATAAAAATCCTCTTCAGTTATTTAAGTTTTTGTGAATTAAAGTATTAAATTGAACTTTTCAATAATTAAAACTTAACTATTATGTTTTAGTAAATAGGTTTAAATTACTTATTGTCCTTAAGTAGAGCATTATATCAAATATAAGAGTCATTAAAGGGAAATTAGATAAAAATTATCAGAGAATGTGCAATGTTTAAAAATATGACCAAAGAATTTCTGACAATTACACAAGCCGAAACACCAAATCAAAGAATCATATTAGCATCTTATTTCACTAAACTCGATGGACTGTGACTGGTCACTAGTCCGATCCAAAGAAATGAGAATAGTCCCTCAGTCCTGTTTTATGGTGGTTCGAGATGGATTTTAATGAGCTAGGACCACCATTAATTCTAAGTCCTGTCATATTTCATTTAACTGAGAAATTCTGAAAGATTTCTGTTTACTCAAAATTAAGAGTTTGACATGAAAACTTGCATTTTTAGATTTTTAAGTTCATTGATTTAAAATTTTAATAAACTCTCAATTGAAATCAATGTGAACCAATGTACTGATTGATGCATAGGTATGCATCAATCTATGACAAAATCATAGGTATCTAAGACAAAAGTTCAGAGTTCATAATTTTTTGTTATTAATAATTTCTATTCTTTGTGAATTTATCTAACATTTTAAAACCTCGCTTAATAATTGTTTTAGATTATGTGATTTGGGTGTTTCCTAAAATACCTTTTTCTGCTTGTCAAATATTTTTTAATTGTTTGCTAGCTTTTTGGCATTACATTAACTAATTTGTCTGAATAATAAAAACAATGTAACTTTTGTCTTGCATCAAAATCTATTTTCCATAATATGTGTTTAATCTTTATACATAAATCCAAAATTCCATATTTAGAAATATTTTTTAAATATATTATAATGTAATATATATTTTAAATTTAGAATTTTTTTCAAATTTCATTTATCTAATTGTGTAGGTTAAGTAAATCTGAAATTTTCATTCTTAAATTTTCATTGTAAATGATTTTATTTTATTTTACTTATTCACTTATATTTTAGCTCCTATTTCCAAATTTATCTTTTACATCAAATGATGATGGAGTACCCAATATTGCTGCATACCGAAGTATTGTAAGTATACAAATATAGCTGTGCTTAATTTTCTATTTTTAAAAAATTATATTATATTCTATAAAAGTAAAGGAATTTATTCAACTAAGTGGACAAGATGTCAATTTCTTGTGAAAATTGTGAAAACGATTATAATTCATCTTACTTATATGCATGCAAGCTGAGTGTGACCGCATAACAGAGAGAACAAAGAATTTTTTTCAAATATCCAAAAAACACAGAAATTGGTTTAATATAGATTAGAGGTACAAATAATTTTTGATTTTGGTTCTATAAATAGATATCTACAAGGTTTTTTAGTGTTAATAATGCATTTATATTTTATTATTTCATAAATTATGTAAAAATTTTATTACTTATAAAAATTATATATTTCGTGTAAAACAGTTTTAACACTTATTTGTTTTGACATAGCAATATTTTTAATATCTTCATTATTAAGAAAACAGTATTTTATAATAGAGATTTAGCTTGTTGTGCTACCAAATGATTCTCACAAATACTCTTTCAGTTATCTGTGATGTGTCATAAATAATAAAATAAAATTGAGAGTTCCTTCAGAATATATGTTAGTATAGTTTATTCTTCGAAAAATTACCCTGCGCTTTGGAGACCTTACTTTTGGAATCAGCCTCCTCTTTGTATTCTTTCAAATTTTTATTGAGAATTGAACTTAAGCAATGAGTCATTTATTCATTAACTTATTCTATTAGGAGCCTGCAAGCTGGATTTTTTTGTGAACCCAATTTAATTTGAGCATTGTAGTCATACATATTAGTTATATTTTAAAAATTCGACCGAAAACATCTTTCATTTTCACAAAACTGTGTATTTCTTCATATTATAATTTTGCGTCCTTTTCATAATTTAATTAGCCTGGCAGATGCGAGCTATTTGTAGATAAGACTTAACCTAACAATTCTAATTACTGTTAAAAACTCACTACAGTAATAAAAACAGCATGCTATTCTCTAAAAAAATGCTATTTCCTATGACTGCAGAGTCTAGGAAAAATAGCCTTAAAATTGAAACTTTTCTTAATTACAGACATATAAAAAGCGCACATGAATTTTTTTTATATATATATCTCCGTTGGTGGCTTGTCTAAAGTACGGTATCTTATGGTAACTTATGGTTATTAAAAGAAAATAATTTATAGTTCTTCTCGAAGTGTGTATTTTTGATGCATATATAGTTTTAAAAAATTTTAATAGTTATTCATGTGTATCACACCAGTTTTAACATTTCAAAAAATAATACAGTAGAGCCTCGATTAACCGAGGTTTCTGTTAACCGAGGCAATAACGAAGTCTAATTTTTTTTTCTCCTCTCCAAAATGAGCTTGGAAGAAATTATACACACATTAGTTCGTTGTCCGTGTTACAGGCACTTATTTCCCACAAAAGCACTCAACTTCCATGAAATATTACACCCTGAGAAGACAACATCCATGAATGCTTTGTTAACAGTGGTCATGTGACTTGTAAGTTTAATCATGTAAATTTTAAAAATACAATATTTTCTTGAGATTTGTGTTATTTTTGAAAATGCGTCTTTCGATATTTAACTAAGTATAGTTAAAAAAAATTCCATTTTACTTTTCAAAATTTACTACTAGAGTTGATTTCCTTTTTAAGTCTTTTTAGCTGTGAAACATAAGTTCATATATGTTTATTTTTATCATTTAAAAAACGTTCTATTGTTTTTTACTTTAAAAGTAGTTAAATTCGCTAGCACGAAAGGTTTTTATACATGGTTCCTATTAACCGAGATTTCCGATATCCGAGGCACTAGCGGTCCCAATTAGCTCGGATAATCGAGGTCTTACTGTACTCTCTTTTGAAATGTAAAAAGTCTTCAATGATTTAAAATAGTGTTTTATTTTTGTTTTGAAAAAGTGAGGACTCTAAATGCAAAAGTAATATGTTACAAAGCTGACACAATGTAACCCTGTCTTTACAATTTGTGTATTGTTGAAAACATAATTAAGTCTTCATTTCTATTTTATTTTTTTTAAATTGAAAGTTTTGAGGTTACACAAATTTATCTGCATTATTCCCTGCTACTTTCAGAGCTTGTACTTGTGCATACAAACAACACTGTCTTAATTATCTGTGATAATTCAAAACTTGCCTAAATTTTGTAGCATAAAAATGTAATTCCTTATAAACTAATTTGACCATTCAATTTTAATTTTTAATTGGTCTGAAATAATGGCATATTTTTAATGTTAATTTATTTTCCTATTTAGATTGAAGATGCATTGACAACCAAAGATTATGCTCTGCTTTGTAACTTAGTGAATTCCAAACCAAAATCTAGACCCTCTGCTTCTCATCTTCTGAGCAAAGGGTTTCTCTCGAGCTATGAATCTTATTGCCACTTTCGAAATAAAGCTGTTACTGGCCACTCCTAATCAAGCTGCAAATTCAAACATTTTTATTGAAAAATATGATTTAAAATATATTTTTTTTTAAATTTCTTTAATTTTCCTTGAAATAGTCATTTCATCTTTTTCTTTCATAACTATTATTATCCAGTGCCAAAATAATTAATTGATTCACATTATAAAATACATTGTTAATTTTAGTTAATTGATTCACATTACAAAATACATTGTTAATTTTAGTGCATGTTTGCAAAGTGCTTTTCTAATTGAGTCAATAATATTTTCTGTTCATAGACCATCGCAGTCAGTAAATTGCAAATATTAAGAGGTATATTTGTTATAGAGATTATATTTGTAATTTTTTTTTTCTGTGGACCAATTGAATTGTCTGTACCTGTATGAAGAAAAAATTTATATGGATATCTGTGATTATTATTTTTAGTTTCTCTGTGATTTTTTTTTCTTTTTTTGTACATGTTGCAGTTAATATGTTCAATACTTTTTTGTATTGTTGAATGTTTTTCAATAAATTTATAACTTTTTCAAAAAAAAAAAAAATTTGTGAATTGATATTGAGTATTTTTTACCCACTAAAATTTGATTAATCCTTCGAAAAGGTAGTCGCTATAAAATCAGGGTTGCCACTCCACAGGGAAAACCTGGAAAATACAAGGAATATAAAAATCACCTAAAATAACGGGGAAAATACTGGGTATTTTGTTTTTTTATTTTAGCCTTTTAAAAAATGGTGACCACTCAAAGCGTATTCTGTGGGATATTTAACCATGATATTTCAGCTATACTTAACTATTTCATTTACCATAGCATTATTTAAGTATGTTCAGCTGTTTTTTCAGCTATTGAAACTAATAAATATAGTTAGCCCAATATAGCTCACACAAGAGCACAGTAATTGTTGTTTCCTCTTAATATATTGCGTATAACATGTACCGGGAAAACAAAGGGAATTTTTTTTCCAGATTTGAGTGGCAACCCTGAAAATTCATGGAGTATTTGCGATTGTAAATCATTTCAACGATTGTGTATTTCCATCTATTCTTAAGTATTAACCCTCTGAGACTAGTCCCAGCTTTTTTCAAGCTGCAAGCTTTAAGACTGAACATCTTGAAAACTGATTTTAAAGTTGTGGCCTATTTTCCCCATGTTATTCGCTGGGAAGAAATTTCAGTACATTTTTTTTCCAGGGGCTGAATGCTTGGAGGGTTAAAGCTGTTAATACCAATATAATACTATTAATAACAATATAATTGTACTACCAATTATATTGGATAAAAAAATTTACAGTGATGTTATTTTTCTCATATTTTTTTAATGGTAATTAATAATTTTGGTATTTTCACTGTATTAAACAAGTAGCAATTTTTATATTTCTCAAAACATTTAAATAATATACATTTTAAATAATATACATTGATACATTGAAACTGACTCATTAATCTTAAATTTTGAATGATAAATTTGTTAAACAGAATTTATAATTTTTATTTATTATGTTTATTTTTGTGAAAATTTTAAGTATAAAATGATGAGCAAATTTAAAGGAGGAAAAAAATATTCAGGGTTGATTGTAGCCCAGAATTCCGCCTTTTTCGTATCATTCTTATGGATCTAAAAACTAGTAGCAGGGCATTTGGTATTTCCGCTGTGAATATTGCAGAATTACACATATTTCAAGATCACAGGTTCATGGACATTCGCAAATCAAAAAAATTATAATCCAATGAAATTTTATAACTTGCTAAATCCCTTTAACGAGTCCATACATATGCTTCTTCCACCAATTTAATTCTTTTGGTTTTGGCGGATTTTGAATCTTTGGAACTACGCTAATATCACTATTTTAATATCAAACATAGATTTTCGTATTTACCTGTTTTAAAAGTTACTCGTTGCGATTCGTATTCACGTGATTTAAAAATCCTATATCGCAATTCCTATTCACGAGATTTTAAAATCCAATATCATTATATTGGATTTATATATAATATTTTCAAATTTTAAAACCCAATATCGCGATTCATATCCACGTCATTTTTAAATCCTATATCGCGATTCTTGCAAGAAATAAGTTTTTTCTTGGATTAGTTACTATAAAGGTGTGATAGTCTTCGTTAGTAGGTAATTCGATTATAAATGCTAATTCAAAACATGTTTGGTACATAAATTGATATCGATTTTTTGCACATTAAAAGTTTTCAGCCTTTTTCACTTTGTTTCACAATCATCCCTGAATTTTGTATTTATCAGAAATCCTTAGTTCATTTAAGTTCACTTGTAAATTTCTTGCTAAAGATAAAAATTATTACTACTTGAAAACACGGAAATTTTTTAAAATGCTACTAAATTTCAGCGATTTTGATTTGTGTAGAGAGTAGTATCCCTGTTAAATTCAGATTATCGCCACGTTGAGGTTAGGTTGTTTTTCCACAGTGTAAACATTTGGGTCACAGAAAAAGCATAAGTGATATGGGTATTATGACTACGCCATACAAATTCACTCAGTTAAATGTTCCTGATCCAATTCTTATAATTTGAATATCCTATGTTGTATTAATCATTTCAAACTTTGTTCTCAATTTTCTCATTAAAACGGTTGAAATTAAATGGTAGAAATCTCTTTAAATTCTTTTCATAGATTTCCCTTTAAAAAAAAAAAAAAAACTCTGAAGAGTGAGTGAGGCTAAACAAAAAGTCTGTTACTCAAGCTTTGGGTAAGGAGTTAGTAAGATCTTTTATTTTTCGCAAATATTTTGATAAAAGAAGAAAAACATAGAAATTATTATTCATTGTGAAAACAAAAATTTTCTCAGATTGCTGCGAAAGGAAGCGAAAACGCACACCGTGAGTAAGCAATTCGAGACTGCATCTACAGGGTGCGTAGCGTTTTTTTAAAGGTGCTTATTTTCGTTTTTTAAAAGCCCTTAAAGGTGCTTTTTTCATTGGGTGTTTTAAAAAAGTGTTTAATTTTCCCTTTTTCAAAATGAGATTTTTTTCTTACTGTGTTGATTTTCGATTCGAATTATGCAAGAAGACGCAGTTCACATTGTTCTATTCAACGTTTTCACAAATAATTCAACCCCAATCTATTTCGGCGTATTGTCAGTCCGTAGCGTATGAAAACGCCATTCGTTTTACATGATTCAAAATGTCATAATTTTTGACAATCGTCAAAAACAATGCCAAAAGGTTTTTCTTTTTTTTGACATGATGGTTAAAACAAGATAGAACCGTTAATTGTCAAAAAACTTCCCAACCCTGCCTAATTATATTTTTTAAAGTGCTTAAAAATATTTTGAGTGCTCAAAAGGTGCTTATTTTTTGTTGAATAATTTGGCTACGCTCCCTGATCTAACGAGATTGCTACGATGATCGAACAAAAGCGCTGGCTTGCCGAATTACGCGCCTTTTTCGAGAGAATCGCGATATCTGGCTGTTTTACCCGTTGTTTGAAATTGGGATGAAAATCTCTTGATTTCTGTCAATGTGGAGGATAAACATAAGTAACCAATTTTTCCCCCACTGGTAAGTTTTGTTTTCCGTCAATTCAAGGTTTTCCGTCCGGATTTCAAGTCAAATCCCAATGGCTCCGTTGCTTAAAATCTGATAAAGTTTGTACGCTACTTATTGATCAGTACCACAATCCTTGAACTTAGGGATCATCCTCTATTAAAATGAGAATGAACATAATTTTTTAAAAACATGTTGAAAGTATTTATTAGATTATAAAAAGTAGTAAAAATCCTAATTTAAAATTGTATTTGAATAATCTATATAAGTAAAACGGAATTTTCATATGTTTGTGTGCATGTACCTTGCACATTTTGCGATTCTTAACCGACCCACTCCAATTTTGGTGTATAGTGAGCAAAAAAAATAAACGAACCACTTTGAATAACTTTTGATCTAATGATGGGATCTTCACGTTCTAGGATACAATCTTAATGGTTTGAGGAGGAGACCTCAAATATGCTAATGAGTGCAGACGATAAATAAGTTACATAATCAAACACATAGACTTACTTTCCTTAAATAAATATACTTTTTTTCCCGACGGATTCGGATTTTTGACCCCCAAAATATAGGGTAGTTTAGTTAGGAGTGCGATCCAAAATTTGGAACCCTTAATGTTGATTTTACTTAAGCAAATGAAAAAATTTGGCACACAATTATAAAATTCGTTAATACAAAGATTGTTCCTTGCAAAAAATAACTTTTAGTAAATATTTATTTAATAATCAAAGAAAAAAAGATTGAATTGTGAGGAATAACATTTTTTATATAATTTTAAGAATCTAATTTTATATTACAAAATTTGAGCGAAATTGGTTTAATAGTTACTGAGAGGACGAATTTTAAGCATGCAAATTTTTTAAAATTTGATTTCTCAAGAGCTATTTAACCGTTTTCGCTCAAACATCATATTTTGCCATATAAAATTGGATTCTTTAAAATCATATAAAAAACTGTATACCTTACAATTCAAACTTTTTTTGGTTTTTATTTTAAAAAATAATAAATATTTACTATTTTTAGTATGGAACTTTCTTTAGATAAACGAATTTTATAATTGTGTGCAAAAAGTTTTCAATTCACTTAAAAAGTTCTCGAGATATTGCGAAATGCGTAAAAAATAAAATTAAGGGGTCCAAACTTTGGACCGCTATACTTATCAAACTAAGGGGACCATATTTCCCAGATTGCGGCTACCCCCTATATTTTGGAGATAAGAGATCGGAATCCGTTGGAAAAAAAATGTTTATTCAGGGAAAGTATGTTTTTGTGTCTGATTTCGTAACTTAAAAAATCGTTTGTAATTTATAATGAGCAAATTGCTAGCTTGCCGCTCTAATAAATTAAAAATTTGTCTGAGGGCCGGGATAGCCTGGTCGGTAGGGCGCTGGGCTCATGTCCGAGAGTTCGTGGGTTCGAACCCCGCCGGCCGAAGACTCCTCGTGTAGTAAAGTGACTGATGCACGTTAAATCTGTCGAGTTGCAGANTTGCTGATCCGCCTCCTCGTTACCTTCAATTCCAATGTGTGCTTTGACCCAGAAAAGTTTAATACTTGGTGTTATATTTACTTTGATCTCTTCAATAATCTTACTTCGATTTCTTGGGTCATTTAGACTTTGTAACGAGGACAGCGAAATTTAAAAAATTAAAAAAAAACTGAAGAGTGAGTGAGACTAAACAAAAAGTCTGTTACACAAGCTTTGAGTAAGGAATTAGTAAGATCTTTTATTTTTCGCAAATATTTTGATAAAAGAAGAAAAACTTACAGAAATTATTCTCAAAAAACTTTCGTGAAAAGAAAAATTTTCTCAGATAGTTGCGAAAGAAAACGAAAGCGCACACCGTGAGTAAGGAATGCGAGACTGCATCTATAGGGTGCGTAACGTTTTTAAAAAGTGTTTATTTTCGTTTTTTAAAAGCCCGTAAAGGTGCTTTTTTCATTGGGTGTTTTTAAAAAGTGCTTAATTTTCCCTTTTTCGAATCCTTTCCTTTCCTGAGAGGTCGAATTTTAAGCATGCAAATTTTTTAAAATTTGATTTCTCAGGAGCTATTCAACCGTTTTCGCTCAAATTTCATATTTTGCCGCATAAAATTGGATTCTTTAAAATCATAAACTGTATACCTTACAATTCAAACTTTTTTTGGTTTTTATTTTAAAAAATAATAAATATTTACTATTTTTAGTATGGAACTTATCTTTAGATAAACGAGTTTTATAATTGTGTGCAAAAAGTTTTCGAGATATTGCGAAATGCGTAAAAAATAAAATTAAGGTGTCCAAACTTTGGACCGCTATACTTATCAAACTATGGGGACCATATTTCCCAGATTGCGACTATCCCCTATATTTTGGAGATAAGAGACCGGAATCCGTTGGGAAAAAAAGTATGTTTGTTTATTCAGGGAAAGTACGTTTTTGTGTCTGATTTCGTAACAAACTTAATGATTCGAGAGTGTGACCTCAAATATACTAATCGTTTGTAATTAGTATATTTGAGGTCACACTCTCGAATCATTAAGTTTGAATCCTAGAATGTGAAAATCTGATCGTTAGATCAAAACGTATTATGGGTAGTCCGTTTTCTTTCTTTCTTTTTTTGTATGTGTGTGCACTGTACATATGTTCGGAAACACAGTGAACCTAATTGCCAACTTTAAAACTACCTTCTACAACCGTTCAGGCGCTACATCTCAAAGAAGGAGTTAGGATTTGATAATTATTTTATAATGAGCAAATTGCTAGCTTGTCGCTCTAATAAATCAAAAATTAGTCTTATCGCACGTTTTCATGAATTGTTTATTTTTGGTTTCCTATGTTAGGTTATCACCAAATCCGTATTTTAAAGGTATATTAAACCACTTGTTTCTAATATTGATACTTAACGTTTTTAAAGGGTGTCTATAAACTTTAAAAATGGGAACTCAACAAGAACTAATAAACTAAAATTGAAGTCATCTAATAAACCATGGTAAGCTTGTGATAATTTACTTATTATGGTGACCTATTAACTTGTATTATGGCAAATCTAATAGTATTAGGGGGACTGGAAAGTAATGTCGTTTCGGCACATTAAATATTCGTTAGTCTTAAAAACTGATTCATTTTCGATCCGGCATTGAAAAGGTTGTTGCTAACGAGGGTGAATACATAATTGATTAAAAATAAAATCTTGATAACAAATATCAAATGCACCGAAACGACATTACTTTCCGATCCCCATAATATTAAGCCACAGCGGAATATACAGCAAATAATAAGAAAATAAAGGTTATGTGTATTGTAGTATGGTGACATTAGGGCACTTATGCATTACCTATGGTGGTAAAAGACATATTACCACGGGACCTATATTGGTATAATAGGTTCTCATTTTCACAACACCTATAAAGGTAATACCAGTATTATGGTAAATTTGAACTATCAACTGTGGTAGACCTCGACAAATAGTATTTTGCCAAATGAACTTTATTATTTTACAACCGTCGTTGAACAGCCAACCCAATTTTTAGGGTTTACGACTACTAATATTCAACTGCGTAGCTTTGTAATTTTGAACCCAATCCAGAAAACAAGGGAACTCCTGGATCAAGTATTGGGAGAAATTTGCCTTCATGGAGGACTCTTTGGTGGAGCTAACGCATTTGCGGTGCATGGAGAGGAAGACCACGTGAACCTCTCACGGCTAACCATGACGGCTGGGGGATTCGAACACTCTATTCCCTTGAGCCACAGCAGCTCAAATGAACTATATTATATTTAGTCTTTATTTTGATGAGATGAACTTCTAATTACATGTTTTGCAATTGCTATCTTATAATGTAAAGAGGCCGGGATGGACACTAAATAATAACAAATAATGAACATGTTTTAGCTTAATTGATTGTGTCGGTATATGTCTTCCAGTTTTGTGCATGATTTAGTAATGTTGATCAACACCAATTTATTGGTCACTTACTTTTTTTCCCAACTAATACAGAGAGCGGATATTGAGATAGTTTTTTTTTTATTAATGAAATTGCATAATAGAATGTTATAACAACTTGGTATGGAACGAGGTAAGCTTGTTATAAAATGGTCTTCAGGCAATCACAACCTTATCTGTCTACTAATTTCGGGTTATAAAACTCATTTTTTTATACTTGATACCTTTTAATCTGATGATCAGTTTTTCATGTGCTATACAAGATTTCATAGGAATTATAACTTATAGGTATTATATATAGGTATAGGTATTATATATAGGTATAGGTAATTATATATTGCAGGTATTCAGACTTTTTTTTTTAGTTTCATTAAAAGATGCTTTTAAATGAAGGAGAATCAAGGAAATAAGTATTCAAACTATGGGGGAGACAAAGCGAATCAAGCATTTATTGAGTAATTAAAGTTTGGTACATATTTTGTTACTTAAAAATTGTTTCTTTAAATGTAATAATGACGGCTAAGTAAGACTTATGAGTAACTGCAATGCAACATGAAAATACTTTATTAAAACAATATAAATAAATTTACTTTACACTTCTGCTGTACATTTTGTCCTTTTGCAATTCTAACGAACACTATTTTTTATCGACCGTTGATCCACTTCTTAATCATTTGCTTCCATGTCTTCGATTTCGATTTCTTCTGATTTGCTTCCATATATTTTTTGAACTGATCCAGAGAGCTTGGCTTTTTACCGGGAAACTTTTTCAATTTATTTACAGGCCAAACAAATGTCGGGGGCGGAACGCCTTTAGGCCAGCCTTTGATCGTACTCCCAGGCTTAAAATATTTTCCAGGCGGCAGAGGAAATTTCTTACTATTCCCCTTTGGAGTAATAAATCGATCTCTTCTATTTTTACTGCTTTTTGGGTTGTATTTTCTCGCTGGAAACTTCCATGGCTTGTTAGTTGGTTTTGGTTTAGAATCATCGTCGGTATCTTTGTCATCTGAGGTAGGAGGAAATACTTTATTTTTTGGTAATTTGGTGATAATAATTATTTTAGGAGGTACATCCTCTCCGCTCTCATCTTCCTTTTTTGGCTGCAGTGTTGAAGGTGGTGCCTGAGTGGTATCCTTACAATCTGGTTTTGATGGAGAAGGCCATGCATCAGGAATGGGTGTGGCGATTGGTGGTTTCCAACTCTTACCTAAGCCGGTTGGTGGTTTCCAAGTCTTTGTGGGAGGTGGTTTCCAGCTTTTAACTGACTTAATACCAGGATTTTTCCATTGCATTGATGGTGGAAAAGTAGCTGGTGGATTCCAATTCGTAGGGGGTTGAGTTGGAGTTTCTGTCCAAGGTGTAGTGGGTGTTGGAGTTGGTTCAGTCAAACTGGTACTTGAAGAAGGATTTTTCCATGCATTTGGAGGAGGTACGGGAAACTTAATTGGTATATTTGGTCCCACGGGAGGCTTCCATGATTTTGTAGGAGGTGGTTGCCAAGATTTTGTTGGTGGTGGCTTCCAAGATTTAGTAGGAGGTTGGCGTTTTGGATGAGGAGGCTTCCATGATTTTGAAGGGGGTCTCCAGCTTTTACCACTTGTTTCCTGAGATGGCCATTCCTTTGAAACTGTTGTTGGTGGTGCATCTGTTGGTGCAGAAGAAGTATCATCTTCAGCGGTGTCTGATCTTGTGTCTTTATTGTCAGTATCATCGTTTGCGTCATTTTCCGTTGACCTACATTGAATTTTGCATCCTCCAAATACCCAATAAGGGAATCCGTTTATTTCACCTGATGGCCATTGGCCTTGATTCCAACTAACTGGTTCAGGAACTGGTGCAGTATCATCTGCTGAATCTAATTTAACACTAATTAGGTTACTAGTCTTGATTGGAATATTACTTTTCCAAGAAAATGTTGTTAATTTCGGTTCTTCGTCAAATGTCTTCACTTTCCACCCTCCACTCTGCCATTGTTGTCCTTTTGAATTATCGATATTAACTGGTGCATTTGCTAAATTGAAATAAGGTAAAACATAAATAAGTTACTTGGTTTAAGTTTCCATATTGTTAATTAAAATATAAAGAGTACAATTTTAAATATTTAAAGACTAATTAGATAAAAACCAATTTTACTCTTCACTTTTAATACATTTGCAGATATTTATCTTGTGAATCGTTATCACTTTTATTTTATCACATTTTCCTTGTTTACAAGGAAAGCCTGATAATTATAACAGAATATATTCTACTAACCTAATCCATTTTTAAAATCTTTTATATTTGGAATTTTTCTAGTGCATAAGCTAGCAATTAGATTATTTTTGAAATTCAGGGTGAAAGGAAATAAAAAGATGTTTATTTGAATATTGAAAAAAAAGTTTATGCATATGCTGATTTAGTCTCTGACTGCAACACTTTGATTGTGCAAGACTCATTTTAATGATTTAATATCTGGACTTCATTGAAATATTTTAGTTTAAGAATTTAAACTACTTACTAATTCTTTGTCAAATATAATAAAAAGCCATTAAATGTGACCGAATCTTCACTTAGTGTAACATTAGTAATGAGTGCAGCAAATATATCAGGGCTAATTATAGTACTTCATAGTTTAAGTACTGTAGAACATTCGATTCGTTCTCATTTAGAAATCATGAACGTTTATATTTACCCGTTGAAAGATCAGATGATGGTGTACTTGTTTTTTGATCTTTCCAAACAACTCCAACACTACTATCATCACCCCAACTTTCTTCTTCTGTTCTACGACTTGGTGTAGTTTTCTTTAGACTGTATGGACCACCTTTCTGTTTAGAAGGCCATTTAATTCTAACTCCATTTCCTCGTTGATTCGAAAGTTCTATTGGTTTAAGTTTGGAATCAGCATCAGTATCTTTGCTGATTGCTGGTTGTGACCAGACAAGTTCATTTTTTGCATCAGTTCGAGAATCACTTTCGATGCTGGGTTGATCTGCAAATGGCCAAGCATTGCTGCTGTTATCAGGTGTCCAAGGTAGTGCCCCGCCAAATCCAGTTTTCCAGACAACATTACTGTCCCAAGCATTTCCCTTCCATGTTTTTGTGCCATACCCTGTCCCCCAAGCTTGGACAGGGTTTTCGATGTTTTCATTTTCGTTTGGAGTATTTTTGGTCGAATCTTGCGATTGTGCTAAAATAAAAACTAAATTTTAATAATATATAACCTTTATAACGTTTAGTGACTTAATGAACCCGCATTTTTTATTAATTTGTTTAATACAAAAATAGTACTTGCATGTAGTTGTTTAGTTACAGTTACAGCAGCAGTTATCTCATAATGTATGAATAAGCCAAAGGAGACTATATAAGATTATTTCAAAATCATACAAATATTTTCCGCGACTTCAATTCTTTTCAGTCGAGCCAGATCACTTTATATACAAACAACTGTATCCACTTTTATGGAGTAATGCTCGTTATTTCAATCTATACTTTCAAATTTTATTTTCAATTGATTACAGTTTATTAAATAAGTTGGTTTCAATTAATTACAGTTCGTTTTTAAATAAACCATTTTATTCTCCGCATTATGTTTGATAGAAAAATTTATTTCTTTTTTACAATGTTTTTTATGAAAAAAAAGTTTTTTAAATATCTTTACAATGTCTAAGTTCGATTGATATTAAATTATTAATTTTTTCTAGTTATTTTTTTCTGCAAATATTTTCTAAGAATGAAATGTAAAATTACCAATTGATGATTTTGGAACCCATGGAGCTGCTGGAAAATCTTTGTTAGCTGCTATCCATGTTTCTCCTCCAAAGTTTGAGTTATATCCTGTATTATCAACTTCCCATGTTTTACTGCCATATGCTTCAATGCGCTTTGGTGCATCGTTTGGAAATGCAACATTTTGTCCCCATGATTTCCCCCTCAACTGTACTTCCTTTGTTCGAGGTTCTTCTACTACATTTTTCGATGTATCATCTGCCAAATCTGTGATCGGAGAATCTGTTCGTTCTTGAACACTGGAAACATTCGAAAACTTTCTAAGAGGTAACTTTTTTCTGATGCCAAACTGAGCAGGTGTTTGTGAAGTGGGAAGCTTATCTTTTATTAATTTTGATTCTTTTATATCTGCATGAAAATAGAAATGATATTAAACTTACAGGCAAGAGATTCATTTAAAAATTTAATTTTTGTTGTTGTTGTTTTTAGTTTTACTTTTGAAAAAAAAATAGACGTATCATTTTACCTGCGTTTACTGACTGGGTTATGCTTTTTGCTGTTGTTTCTGCAATTTCATCATTCTTATTTTCGCTAGAATTTCCATTGCCAACTGAGAAAGCGGTCGCTCCCACCCAAGGAGCATAGTTGTAATCATCGGCAGGCCAGGAATTGTATTCATCATCTTCAGCCAGAGATTCTCCTGAAGCACCCCAGAAATATTCTGGATCTACCCACTCAGCATCAGCCGGGATGTCACCTGTACTGGTCACTCTCCACTCTCCATCATCATACTCTATTTTCCATTCCACGTCGCCTTTGTCATCAAGAACTTGCCACCCTTCATCGCCACCTTCCCCGACAACCTGCAAATTATGAATACTTATAAGACTATTGCCTGCTAAACGTTTATGTTAATATGGCCATTTATTGCATTTGTAAACATTTAAGCAAATGTGACCAAATTTTGTTCTTACATTCCATCGACTTGTATCTTCTGGAAGAGGCTTCTGGTTTGTTTCATCTATCGGATCGTCTAATGTCCAACCACCTGCAGTGGCACCATCATTTGTTGACCACACAATATATCCCGCTAAAATATAGTTTAATAGATATACAATTATCAAACTGTTTTAATAACAAATGCTAAGTGTACAACGCAAACTATCTAATTCGTAGTTTTTATTTAGTCTATTTTCGGGCAATAGAAGTAATTAGTAAAATGACATTTATTTAAATAGAAGAATATGAGAAAAATTGCTTATTTAATTAAATTCACTCGCTTCTGAGTCTACGGAAAAATAACTCTCCTTCATTTTTCTTAGTCTTATTCAATACCCCAGTATCTTATTCAATGTTCTATTACTTCTTTTATTACAAGGCTTCGTATACAACTTGCTATCGTTCATCAACCCCAAGATTCTTACTCAGTTCATTTCAGACAGCTTTGTGATCTGAGTATCCTTCGCTCACGTTTTTTTTTTCTTTTTCCTTTTTTGTCTCATGTCTAGCTTTTATACTATAATGTCTGTTATACTTTTTTTAAACCGTATTAGAGGCTACGCTCTGTCTTCGGTAACCCTCGTAACTGCTAGTCCGATTGTCTTCTGTCGCTTATTTCGACTGACCAGCCACTGACAAAGAGGGGTTTGAGTGAAGATATTGGAGAGTAATAGTCAATGCGCAAATTTAAAGCTTGCAAAATTAGAAGTCCTTAGAGATTTAATTACTGAAATCCGTGAATGTGGTAAATTTTTGTATTTTTTTCTTATTCTAACCATAATTAATAACAGCCAGATCGGGTTGCAATGCGTGAACTGTGCTAAAAATGTAGGAAATGTCCACCGCTAATTTTGATTAGGGGAAAATACCGTGAACGAGCAGTTGAAAAGTAAAATGAATGCTGTTGAAAATTTTGAACAATGAGAAATGGGCTTTGAGAGAATGAGAAATGAGCAAGTAGGAAAAGTGAAAAATGGGTACATTATCAAGGACACGAGTTGACCAAAACGGCATATCAGAAAAATAGAAGAGCCCGAAGGGCCAATTTTAAAAATTTCTTTACATTAAGTTACTTAAATATTGAAAGCGAGCTCCCTAACACAAAAAAGGAGACCTTAACCTCAAAGTATTGAAAAGTAAAAAGAGTTCTTATTTGTTTAAAATAAAATTATGACCTAAGTTGAGAGATATTTTTTAACAAAAAATAACAATTTCTTACGCTTGTTAAACGTTTGATTCTTTATTGGTGTAGGCGTCGTGATTTCTGGACTTGTTGCTTTTGTTGTGGTCGTCGGAATAGATTTCGTGGTTAGCTTTGTAGAAACGAAGGGTCTGGTTGATACTGCAACTGGCTTTTTTATTCTAGGGATTAAGTTTTGAGTTTTCTCATTCAACTTAGGCTTCACCCTGAGAAAATCTTGAGCTTTCGTGCTATCTATCCTGTCGATTGCATTCTTGACATCATCTCCTTTGGAACTCCATTCATCGACTGTTGCGTGTGCACTTGTGTTTCCTCTGGTTCCATAGTTAAAGAAGGAATCTGATTTAGCACCTGTAAATCGAATAGAATAGGTTTGTTATTCTTTCACGTCTATTATTGATGTAATGGATGGATGTTTAAAAAATATTAAAAGGTAGTGGCATTACGTTTATTTCATTTATTGTTAAATTTCTTTTCCAATTGTTTAAAAGTCTCAAAATTGTGAAGTTTCATAAATAGTTGATTTTGTGAAAAGAAACTGCATTCAATGTTAACAGGAACATAAGATTTGTTAATATCTGTCACATGTGTGGTCATGGTACATGACAATCTTGTTGGACTCCATAAGCATTGCAAAAAATCGGAAAACGCTCGAATGAAACTGTCTGTTTCTCTACTTGTACTGTAATGTACTATTGCAGTTTTAAGTCATTAACTTTAATTTTTAATTTTAAGATTTTGAATAATGAGAAAATTTGAAGTACGTAACAAACTCAAAAATATATTACAGCAATAAAAATAAATTCAATTGTTTGGGTCAAAATAAGTGGGTTATAAGGTGCAGCCGCTTGGAAGATCACTACAGAGAAAAACCACTTACTCCTAATAGGACGCGTGAGAGGATTACGCATCAATGGGAAAGGTGTTCCTATTTATTTTTAATTATATTATCATATCTTGGCCGAATAGTCAACACCAAAGGGCGAAGCTCTTCTTCAATATTCTTTAGTTTTGAAAGACAATTTGATTTTATGGTGGGGGTGGTTAAAAAAGAAAATGTCTCACACAAATAAGTCGTAGAAAAAGCTAAAAGAATGTTTATGGAGGTTTCAGAATTCGTTAAAAATTCTTTTTCTGCCCCAAATAATTAAATTGACTCAGCAAGTTCTTCCTGTGATTTTGATGACGTATGAGTAATTTTTTCCACATTAATTCAGATTAGTTTCTCAACCCATATTTGTTCTTAAACACTGAAATTTGGAGGGAAATATTTTCCGAAAATTTTTGTCAAAACACCGAAGGTGTTCATTTATCACATCCAGTTTCAGATACATCGTGCAAAATAATTTGAAAAATGGAAAATTATTATAAGTTAAAAAAATATCAAGTTGTTAAAATTTCGGCGACTCGTGTTGCAGGTCCTGCAATCCCAATCGGGAACACGACACACAGTTTAAGAAACTCTGCTCTATACTATCTTGCAATTCTTGCAATCTTGCTACTCTTACTATCTTGCAATCTGTTTTATACTATCTTTTAGAAATTTAAAGTATTATTGAACTTACCTGGAGGACGGTTATACACTCTGACCCAAGATTTAGTTCTCTCGCTGTCAATACTTGCTGCTCTTCTGTGAGACTTAACAAGATCTTCAACATTTTCTGTCAATGAATTATTCACTGATGGATAATCAGTATCAGTTATGTTTTCAAGTACGCTGATATCCTCTGACGTTGCATTAAATTCAGTAGTGTTAGAGAGTAGGGTTGAGTTGTCCGTTGGTTTGTTTATTTCCTCCGTGGTGCATAAGGCAACAAGAATCACCCAACTTGTAACAAATATTTGTATGATCTTAAATTAAAATTAAAGTTAGCTTCAAATTATTTAAAAAAATCATGAAAAATAAACAACACTATTTTAACATAAACAGAACAGGAATGATATTTTTAAGTCTATAGAAATTGATACTGCAATACTAGTAGAATATTGTAACACATTTAATTCTATTTTAATTTTACTTTAATCTAAAAGATTAAACTAAATTTGAATCAAGGAATTGTAGAAATGTCGCGTCTGAGCATGAGGTGTAAAAATACTCAATCTTCAGAAATACCTGGATGTCTTGAATTTAATGTTTGATGTTGTTAGCTTTAAAATTTATCAAAGTTTTTCGACTTTGTAATATTATTGTAGAAATGCATCGCCTTTATACTGGAAATAATTGTATTCTTTTCGTATTAGAATGGTTGAGAAATCAAAGAAATTTATATAAATGTTCTTTTTTTTAGCTTAATTTATGATTCCAAGATTTATTTCGAATTATTAAGTTTAAATCTATCCCCCCAAAAATTCATTAATTTTATAAGATTTGCGATAATATCTGTTTTTTTTATCATTAATAATTTTCTTAACAAAATTCTTTTTAGTTATATTTCACAGTCATAAACACTATCTAATTAACTGTTTAAATAACTGTTTAATTAATTGTTTAATTGAGTTAACCTTTATATAAGCTTATAATAAATTATGAGCTTATATAAATGCTTATTGATTTATCCTGTTAATAATTGAGCTTAATTATTCATTCATTGTTCTAAATTCCAGAATTGAAAAAAAATATTTTTATTCAAACTTTATTAAAAAAAATACCGATCTAATAGAAGTTTTAATAGGTAATATAATTTACTGTCATCAAGAAATGTGTTCTAAGTGTTTGATTTTACAGAAAAGATTTATACTATGACCTTGATTTTTGTATTATAAGACGATTTAAATTTGAAGCCTCTCAACCAAACGAAAATCAGGCCAGTTGCAAATTCCATTCTCTGGAAGAATATTCGTCCATTTTTTTATTCCTTTCATAAATGGTGGATAACTTATTTGAATAAGGACGTGAAAGGAAAATCATGAATAAATGTTAGAAAGTGTCCGGGATGGAGCTATAAATCAGATTCGCACTACCTACTTTGTCAGATGGCAGAAGATTCAATGAATGCAAATATTGGATGCATCAATTTCAACAATAGGCCTAACTCGTTAACATTTCAATGGATGGAGTATTTAAAAAGTGAGCAATGGCACTCAAGGAGTAATATGCGAACACTTCAAGATTTTATGCACTGTATGTTCTCTGAATAAATTTGAATGTGTTCTATAAAGGTTTTGTGCATTTGTTTAATTTAGCAGCAAGCAGTTTTTTGCCTCCTCGTTTGCGTGATTCACAATTGTGCATAAATTTTCTGTTGCATTTTAGTATTTTGACGCAGATGGGGCACCGGTGTCCCTTTAATGTATTTTATTTTTTTTGAAGCTCTAATTACAGGCAAAAATATATTTTGGCATTTTTTATTACATAAAAGCTGTCTAATAGTTATTAAAAATATGCGTTAGGTTATTGGAATTATATTTGTACTGAAATATAATAGCCAAAAAAAGGAAGTTAAGAATTTCTTTTTATTCATATTCAAAAATATATCAGTAATTTATTTTGTAAAATAAAAAAATTTCAATGATTAACTGCTTATCTTAGATCTAAATAACTGCTAATGAGAAAAACTACTGTTTTGAAGTGAGCCATGTTTGGGAGATTTTACCTTTAACGCAGAAAAAGACACCGGTGTTTCATCCTGTATATCATAATCATAATTAATTAAAATGCTAATTACAATAATATTCGCTTATTTTGGTGGTGCATCTGCTCCATTTGTATTGCTCTATTTGCTATTGTTCTACTTGCTTTTTCTATTTGTGCATTTTCGGAAAACGATTTGTCATTTTGAAATTGCCAATTAGTTACATTTGAACCTTTTGAAAACAATTGTTGACTTATAAATAATGTTTCGGTAAACTTTATGTTTCTTTTTTATAATATAACGTGCAAAATTGAAAGTAGAAAACCTTAATTACTTACTTTAAATGTAGTTACTGGATTTTCGCTTGCAAAGATGCAATTTTAATGGTTCGAGAATTCAATCTTAAGCGTGCTAATTGAATATTGAATTGATCAGATTCACTTTCTAAATCCGATTCAAATGCATACTCTCTGGATAACCTCTCTCGCCCCCTTTTTTTTCTTTTCCTTATCTTAATTTTCAACCCTCAAAATATGGAGGTAGCTGCAATTTGAAGAATGTGGCTCTAATAATTTAGTCGGGAATACGGCTAAAGTTTGAACCCCTTGATGTTAATATGACTTTTTACGTATTTCACCATATCATTAGAACTGTTTAAGAGAAGAACTGAAGAAAAAAATCCAACAATAATTTTATGCAATATTTAATTTTTAGAATTATAATTTTTTTTTTTAAAAACGTAAAACATTTTTAGATTTTAAGAGATAAAGTTTTTTTACCTAGTTTAAAACTATATATGTATTTAAATATATATATATATAAACTATATACATTAACTTTCAACCCCATAGTCTTGTAATTTTGATCCCAATCCAGAAGAAAAGGGAGCTCCTGGATCAGTACCCCTAGAGGTATTGATTTGCTATGAAAACTTGGAGGACTTTGTGACCCGGACGTGCACTAGTCTTAATTCGACCGATTCCCTTCAAAATTTTGATTTTATCATTTAATATAACATAGTTAAAAGTGAAGTCTGGCGAAGTTAACGAGAATTGAGGCACATGCATGAACCGAAATATAGTCTAGCTATTTATTCAGTAGTTTGATTAAAATATTATTTTTATTTGGAATAAAATTCTTTATTAACAATTAACGATGTGCAGTAGGGGTCCTTAAATCATTCTGAATGCAGTAATTTAAAAGTTAAAATAGTTGTCATTATGGAGTTAACTTATATGTTGTTTTGAGTGGTACTTATGACATTCCATTTTGGTTTTAAAATAATAATAATAAATGAAATCTTTACAAATAAACCATGTTTTAACTAAAGAACCTGATTTTTTTTTTGATTTTTTTTTTAAAAGAAAGAAAATGTTTCTGAATATAGACGATGAAATGGGTATAAAAGAAAAATGTATAAAGCTGTATTCGATATTTATAAAAAAAGTGAAAAGCTAATTAAAATTAAATTTGATACGACTCTTTGTCCATAATATATAGTATTAGGTATATTTAGCTCGAATTGTTTTTAATCAAATTGTAAATAATGGCAAATAATAATTGCTTTTTTTAACACATTTCACCCTATACCTTAAGTTAACATTTTTGTGAAGAAAATGTCTAAAAACAAATCTTGTATTTTTTCAAAATATTTCAGATTTGTTCATAGTATAAAACTATTGAATCAAAATCAACCATAGTCAATTGAAAAAAAATCATTTTTTAAAAAATTGTGTGCGAGTTAAAAGAAGAAGCAACTTCTTTAAAAAATATATTTGAATTCACATTACATTTGATTATTAATTATTTGGTAATTTTAATTTTTATTATTTGAAGCAGCATTTTTTATTTTATCCTCACCAGTTAACTATCTACAATAATACAATGATATTTAATTATATATCCTTGTAACTTTTAACTTAATTCAGAACACACAACAAAAATTCCCAGGATTAGCCCGATGAACAATTGAACCTTATTCAACGATCCATCTATCACTAGAAATAATTAACGTTCGGTAATTATTAACAGTATCCGGCGATTATTTAAAAAAAATCACTTCATAATTATATAATATTAAATAATATTTTTTTATATAATATTTTATTGCATAATATTTTATTATATAACATTTTATTACATAATATTTTATTACATAGTAATTTATTATATAATATTAATTAATATTAAACAATATATTAAAAAATAAGTTCTACTCTGTATATGTATACGTATCGTTCTCCTTCTCTGTTCATGGTTTCAACAGTTTTCTTTAAACATAATACACTAACTACATGATTATGTAAGCAACTTCAAAAATAAAATTAAATAAAGACATTGATGCAAACTATCTAAAAAAATTTTATCTAATTGATCTAGAATTAATTTAGCTTTGCAAATTTTTTCAAAAAACCAGTAATGCAACTAAATCATTTCCGTTCTGAAATATTAATAATAAATATCCCGCATTGAAAACTTATTTTAAAATTTATCATATTTGAGAAATAAAATACTGAAATTTAAATTTCTCATTTCACCATTTTTGAAGTAATTTTTTTTTTAAATATTACTATTTACGAATTAATTATTGATCTTGATTGGTTATCCTAAGTATTGGAGTTCTGCTTTTAAAATGTTCATATTAGACATTTATTCCTCTTATCAAAACGTTTCAACTAAAGTTTTTCAAGCAATTATTGTTTCGAATAAGCCATTAAGACGTAGTTTAACAGAGAATTGATTTTACACTGGATAAATAAAACAATGGAAAATATTGAATGCGGCTATTGTAACATGTTTGTCACTTAAATGCTCTTCACACCTTTTTTACGTTCTTACTATATTTTATATGAATGTCTCCGAGTTATAATGTAATTTTCCAATTAAAAATATTAATTTTGCGTTTTGGATTTTACAATTTATTATTTACAATTTAATAACATAATTTATTTTGAAAGAAAAATATTAAAAAGAAACATTTTTTTTAAAAAATATCACGGGTTTAGTGTACAAATTATAAAAAAATATTAAATTGTATGCCTTTAAAGCTCTAAAATACATTACTTTTTTTCCTATTAACATTATACATTATATATAAATACATATTTATATTAACAATAATAAATCCTATTAACATTATACATAATATATAAAAACATATTTATATATAATGTAGTTATGTTATATCCCTATAACATAATTACATTATATATAAATATGTTGAATTTTTCCCCCGATTGTCTCTGTTTCAGAGTTTATAAATCCACCGATTTCTTTTAATTGTGTTACATAAAAACTCTGTGCCAAAAAAGTACTTGCAATATAAGTATCAGAACAATGTTTAGAAAATGTTTTAGTAATACTTAATCTATGTACTGCTAACACTTCTTTAAACTGTTCTATATAGCTTGATCAAAATTTAAGTTCAAAAAAATAAAATATAAAGAAAATTAAGAAAAAATGAACAAACTAAGTATTATCACTAAAGTAATTATTACTTAGTTTTTTAAAGAAGTGTTTGATGAACAAAACTGTTTCAAACTATTACCTTTTATCGAAATAGATATTATTAATCGAAACAGTACCACGGAAGAAACAAAAAACTGATGGTAATTATATCTAACTAACGTATTTTGTTTGCTTTATCTTAAATCTTACTTAATTAAAATTAAGCTAGCAAAAGCTTACAAAATGCATTATTCGAAACAAATCTTAACACAAAATTCAAATTACAAGTTATAAAACATTAATAGTTTATTGAACAGTTTCCTTAAACTTAGAAACTTTTTTTAAGTTACGAAGATTAAATGTTTGGAATATTTTTAAAGTTACAGTTTAGACTATAAAAGACCTTTTTCAAAGACCGTAATTTTAGAGATTAAAGTTAAACCAAAATCTATATTCATGAAAAAAAAGTAGTTCTGTAGTTTTAGAAGCTATAAGGCTCCATAAGTATTTAGTAGAGTGAAAATATAAAGAGAGCATTGAAACTCTAAGTGAAAAGTTTCAAGTTTAAATCTAACTAACTCCAAGATGGTTAACTTAACTATCAAAATCATAAATCACTTCTGTAAAAAATAGCTTACCCCATTATTCCGAATAATCATATCCAAAAGCCTTATTGAGTAATCCAAGACACTATTAGTTATGCTGTTGCTGGGATGAGAAGTGACTGATTTTGTGATGATGATGACCGTCTGCTCTGAGAATATATACCCGTCAACCACGTGACTAAACCATATCGTATACTAAAAAAAAAACCAGAAGAATGTTAGTTACTTTGGATCGGTTTCAAAAAGACGCTGGAATTAACACAAAATGTCCCAACCGTGACCAAATGGAATCCGGCAAGAACACGCAATTCTCAAGCAAGACACAAAGGATAACGGTTCGGGTGTGGTGTTGGATCAAGAGCAAGCAGATTTCGCATTCTTTTTTTATTATTTTCTTCTTCCATTGCATAAATGAAAGTTTAAATGTAAGAAGGTTCCCGTGGAAGATATGCATTAAATGTGCTTGCTTAAATGGTTCCAAGGACGCATCTTTTGGTGAACTTCGATGAGCTTTTGATTTTGAATTCCATAATTGTTTCATTTTCAAACACACCGTATTTCAGTTCATGCGTAGCATAAATCAACAATTTATAGAATGTTAAGTTCATTAATTAAAAAAACCTATTTCACAGTACCTATGGTAGGTGTAGTCATACTTATATTTGTGTGTATAGTGCCCATTAAAACAGCACCAATTAAAATATAATATTAATACCTATGACCAAAAAAATCTTCGTGATTATTAATGTTTTCAAAATGAAAATAACAAGGGGCTTATCAGAAATTTTTAAGAGGAGTCAAAACTCTTGAAATAGAAAGTTAAGCGCACATCTTATGCATTTGGCAAAACTGATCTTTAAAACAGCATGGGTCGGTAGGGAAAGATTAAATCTGCTTTTGAACTTTATCATCGAGATAGATGGTTAAATTTCATTTTGCTTCCGGCCCGCAGAGATTGTATTCTGATTCATATTATACTCTGATAACGACAGATCAGAACTCAATTGGTAACGAGCTAATCATGAAATGTTTTCGTGGTTTTTACCTCCATTTTGCAAAAATGCTGAATAGTTTCATTTAAACAAATTCTTCTCGAAGGTGAATGTTACTTGATTCTTTAAGCAGATGTTCTCGTGTCTTTTAGATTCAAGGCTAGGAGGATGAAAAAGAAAAAAAAGTTGTGCATTCATTGAGTGGATTGGCATTCAATGCCTGAAATTTGTGAAGTAGTTACCTGAATTATAAAGAAAAGTGAGTCACGTAACTAATTACGATCACGTTGTACCATAATTGGAAAAAAAAATACCAAAAATATTTTATTAACATTTTTATAAATAAAATAAAAAAATCTTTTTTGCATGCGCCGCAAATTTTTTAAGAAGAAATTGAAACTAATTAATGTTCTTCAACAGTTCTTAACAGTTCTTCAACAGTTCTTAATTCTTATTTGTATTAAAACAAATAAAAATACATTTATTCAGTTTTAGACTTATTTAGATGTGACGAACATTTGACCATAATCAACGTCATTAATAATAATTTTTTTAAATAAATAATTACCGAATTTTTGCCAATTTAAGCCATAAATACTGGTAAAACTTCTACTTCTCAAATTTTTGGCTCACTTTGCCTCTGAATCGTTTTCGGGCTATTTTCGAACTATCAAAACTAGATAAAAACTTGATGCCAGTAAGTTCCAAATACAGGTTGCTGAAATTTCATTTCGAACAAAAAGTTAAAGTATATTTGTAAATTTATTTCAGTTTTTCAATATTATAATATATATATATATANTATATATTTCTTAGAAGAAATTTGAAAATACCTTATGAAGTAGATGCTATGCTCAAAAATCCTTAACATAAGGTAACATAAGGATTAAGTGATGTAACAAAAGCGTATAACGTATAAACTTTTAACCTAATTTAATAAAACTACTAAAATGTCACTTACCAGCTTCTTCCACTCATCTACTCTTATTTATCGTCTCTTTTTATACAATTTTGAATCGAATAATAAATAGAAGTATTAATACCAACTTTTGCTGACTTTCCTTGGACATTTTTCGGAAAATAAGCAGCATCTCCTTATTACAAATTTTGAAACATAAATTTTAGCCAAGAAGAATCAAAGGGATTGTGGTCATTGTATGCATTTTCATAAAGAAGCGATCTGATTTATCTTCGAATTTTTAAATTTTTAAAGTACTTGATAAAAAAAAATAAACAAAAGTATTAACGATGAAAATTATTAAACTTTATATTAGTTATTAGTGCTTTATATAGTTAAAATTAAGTGGGCCAATTTTTATCCTACCGCTTCTGTAATTGAATAATTCAAAAAGTGGGGAAAATTAGCGAGAAATTCACTTACAATTGTTACAACTTTCAAAAAATATGAAATTTCGATAAAAGTGGCTAGTACTATTTTTCAACATACAAAGATAAATTTAAGCTGTTTTTATGCATGCCCGTATGTCTTTAAAATTTTAATTAGTTATTTTAATCAGGGACATGAACTTTTTTTATTAAGTAGATGAATTATAAATTAGCCTTATCACCATTTTTTATTTTAAAATGATATTGTTTTGGCGTAATAGGGCAGAGCTGTTAACTAAGACCCCTGTAATAAAATAACTAATACTCTTAAAAATTTTCTTGTCAAAATTCCGATTTTTCTGCTATCAAAGGTTAAGAACCTAAATGATTTCGGCATCCGTCTATTATGAAGTCAATACATGTTGTATTTGAGTTGTAGCTTTTTTCCAACCATGGCAATCAAATATATACATCTCTTTTAAAGAAATGTGTCTTAACTTCTAATGTTGCAATTTAGAAATAACTTTCAGAAACATATAACATATATTTCTGAAAAGTAAACATATATTTCTGAGACATAAATATTTTATCCAGTTGTCAATTATTATTATAACTATCTCTGACATTACAAGTATTAAAAGTTAATTTTTCATTTTTAACAAGCATCAAACTTAACTTTAAAGAGCTTTAACTTTAAATTTAATGAGCATTTTAGAAATTTATTTCCCAAATTTAAGCAGCAAACTCTATGTAGCATAATTTATAAATTATCTAAACATAAATTATAACTTTTATACAAAAAGAAAAGCTTTTATAGAATTTAGTTTCATTTATGATTTATTATTTTTAAACATTATGCTGATTTTATTTATTTACTTATCAATTTTTCTTGAACTATAATAGGTAAAATTTTAGTGTTGTTTCTCCAGTCTAAAGTTTACACATTAATATTCAGAAAATTCAATATGATTCGAATCAATGTAGAATGCAATCAGAAAATGCAAAGTGATCAAATGAGCTATTGTGACTGTGCAATTTAATTTCGACCCCCTCAGACGCACATACTTCGCTCTCGTCCAACCTTTAATTAACGTTATCGACTAATTATCATCAGTTCGTTCGGAGGAAGATTTTTCTTCGTTCATGGAGTTTTAATAAACGTTGTGGTTTTTGCATATATATTTTAGGCATTGTACATACTCTATATAATAGTCCACAAGCGCAGCACTAGATGGCATTGCCTGTTTCCCCTTAGTTTAACTATTCTTTTCGGAACTAAAAGGGTGTTTTAGCTCGTATGGTATCCTAATCTAACTAAATTTGTTCTTGTTTTAGTATTCATAAAATGGCAACTATGTTATTTAATGGGGCATCCATTTTCTGATTTTGTGCAACATTTATTTATCATTATCAAATTAATGGAACTAATATGTTTATTATTACAATTTAGCTTTCAAAATAATCATATGCTCACTGCTTCCTTGAAATATCCAACCCTTCTTGTATTATTTACTTAAATCTATTGTCGGGCTTAAAACATAACACCTTTCATTTAAGCCTAATATCATTTATTTCATTACTATTGAACGGTCCACCAGTATTTCTTTCTGCCAACATTTGAAAACTTTAGTTTCTGTTTTGTTGTCAAAAATGACAGGTGATGTCATATTTTACAAGTAAAGCCAAATGTTTTTAGTTCGAAATTATAAATTTGTTTAACTTTTAAAATTCATAAAATTCTTTTATTTTTATTATTGTGAGCTTAAAAATTTCACTAAACTGATTTCTAACTTAGAATAATGGCAATTCCAGCTTTAAAACCTGCTGTTGTTATGAATTTCACAGAAAGTCAGCAGGCATGTAACATTCTTGAAAAGCTATGGAGTCAGCGTGAATCTGGACGATTTTGTGATGTTGTGCTTCATGTACAAGGCCAGAAATTTTGTGCACATCGCAATGTTTTAGCAGCTTGTAGCCCGTATTTCGATTCTGTTTTAAAAAAGCACAAGACAGAAAAGGAACAGCTTACCCTAACATGTCAAAACATGGATGCATTTCTATTACTCTTAAACTATATGTATACAGGTGTCATAATTATTGATTTAAGTAATGTTTCAGAATTGCTTAGACTCTCCAATCATTTTCTTATTAACAAGTTAAAAAACTTTTGCGCTGAATATCTCATTAAATATTTAGATTATTCAAACTGCTTTCTTATCAAGGAGTTAGCTGAAAAATATAGTTTACCTATTCTGCATAGAAGTGCTGACAATTTTATTCGATCTAATATTGCTGAACTTTTTGATAAAAATGAACTTCTAGAATCACCTGTTTTTAAATTAAAGCAGTTTTTCAGTGAAAACAACCTCCTTATTCCGAAGCATTTGTTATTTCCTTTTATTTGTAAGTGGTTGGAACATAATGTTAGTGATAGAGAAAATGACTTTGCAATTTTACTTTCGTTTATCGACTGGAATGCTGTAGATTATTTGCATTTAGAAAACTATTTGAGATCGACGTCCCTGAATGAAAGGAGTCCGAAATGCATATATCTGATACTATCTGCTATGGAGGAAAATAAAATGGAATTGTCTGTATTTCATGATAAGTTTCTAATTTTGAAATCACAGTTTGGTACCACGGTTGATGGCGATGAAAAGGATGCTATGAAAAATGAAAAAAATACATTAGATTCTGATTATTCTGCTGCTGTGCCAGTTACTGTGGCACCATTAGAAAGGCGGGAAAACGATGTATATCAATGTGATGAAATGACAGCTCCAAAAGACGATGAATCAAGCAATAGTAGTTATAATGTTCCTGATAATGGTGCTGATGGTTTTGATGAAAGTGAGAGTTCTGACAATGCTGCTGAAGATCCACCCATTGAGCCTATCAAGGTTGAATCTGGACAAGAAAAGTTGAAAACCCGTAAGTATTTTTTTATTTGGTTTTTACAGAGTTGGCAAGGTGTAGGACAGATTGGATTAATCCAAGGTTAAAACCATCCTGTCTTAAACTGTCCAAAACTGTTTTATTTAAATTATGTCACAATTTAAAAAAAAATATTGTGAAAAATTAAAGGATAATTTTCGAACAAGAAACAAATTGAAGACAAGTTTTTATTTTATTGAAAAATGTAATTATCATTTTTAATATTGCATTGTTTATCCTTATACAAAAACATAATTTATCAGTATTAAAAGCATATTTATTTGTATTTAAGGGATCAATTTTGTTGTTTAATGAATTGTGGAGCTTCAAAAGTTATAAATCTTTTCTTATGTTTTATTTAAAGCAAATTGTATAAAAAGTCTTAAATATTTTTTGATCTCTGCAATTATTATGTGTACAATGGTTTCACAAAAGAATTTTTACCTTTTACCAATGTTCAAGGTTTTCGACTGCTTTAGTCAGTTTAAGTGCTCTGTCCAAAACCCATGTGCTCTGTCCAAAACAAGTATAGGACTTCTAAGACTCTAACCCTGGATTTTTATATTGAGATGTTGTATGTCAGAGATGAGTTTTTCTGCTTTTTGTCAGTATCCTGTTTTTTTTCTTTTAGTTATTTTTTACCAAATTCTTCTTGTGAATGACAATGAGTATAGTGTGAAAAAAAAAAATAATAATTTCACTCTAAATTACAATTACAGAGTTATATGATAAAATTTCAGAAGAATTTTTTTTGCATTCATGGTAATTCAAACTATATTTAAAATCAATTTTTCTTATAGTAACAATTACTGTAACCAGCAGTTACAGTGTATTATGTTATTGGCATTAATAATTGGCCTTGTACATTTGATTTTCAAAAATGATTTAAATGCACATAGACATTAATAGTAATGCAGGTGTTTGCCAGATTATGTAAAGTTACCAAATAATCTACTTTAAATTTGATAAAGGATCTATTAAAAATTAAGCATTTTAATTAAATGAAATAGTCAATCAAATGATATGAAAACATCAGTTAAATTTTTTCATGGTTTTGCAAGTTCATATAACTGTTCCGTATTATTTATTGTTCAAATTTGTAGCAAACATTTTTATATAATCACTCTCTTTTTTAAATGTTACTGTATTTTCTGAAGTTATTCAACTAAGATAGTTTTATGATAAAGTTCTAGATTGGTGTTATATTATTAGCAAATTTCCAATATGAAGTTGACATTGCAAATCATTTTCAGGAACCTTTATCAAACATTTGTATGAATTCTTATCTTTTTATACTAAGCTATAATAATAAAAAAAAGGTTCTTTGTTACTGGTACAGGTATGTTAAGTAAAGAACTTTTACCATAAAACTTTACTACCAGATTGGGAAAACATTAATGCTTAATTATAAGTTTATTTTACAGAAATATTTAACCAATGAATGAAAATGTATTCTTCCTTGATATTTATGCACATATATATTTTTTTATGTATAATGTTTTGAATTGAACAAAGCCTTAGCAACTAGTGTCACCATCTAGTGACAGTAATGATAAAGAAAAGTTGGTACATGGAATACTTGTCAAATACAGTAGATAAAGTCTGCTTTTAATGACGCAACAAATGCATTGATTATCAACTAACTAATTAAATTCAAATATGAAACTTGATTATTTATATTAACAGTGTTTTCATCTCAGAAAAAAAAATGGGTGAGAATTTCTCACCCTTTCTCAAAAACAGGGTGAGATTTCAAAAATTAAAAAAAAAAAAAAACACCAAGAGACTTGAAAAAAAAAATCATTTATTTAATTATAATGCATTTTTAACATCTTCTAATTTTTAATGCCTTGAATATTTTTACTGCATATGGAAAATGTTCTACATCTACTTTTTCATCAGCTATTCTCATTAGGTTGCTCAAATGCGTATTTGTTTGGTTTTGATCGTTTCTTCCCACATTTGTCCGTTTAGGAGTAGAAGATATTGGCTTTACAAGGCATTTGTTCATCTTACATTAACGAGCAAAAAATGTAAACATCTTACATGAAGAAACCTTACCTACGGTAAACACGTGTTTGCAGAGAAATGCGTTCTGAAAGAGGTTCCGTGGTTCCGAAGGATGGTGCTCTGTTGTTCTTAAAGGTTCTGAACAATACTGGTAAATAGGGAAGCTAGATAATGGGACAGATGTTGAAAATAATAAAAGATCCAGGAAGAAAAGTGAAANTAGCAACTAGTGTCACCATCTAGTGACAGTAATGATAAAGAAAAGTTGGTACATGGAATACTTGTCAAATACAGTAGATAAAGTCTGCTTTTAATGACGCAACAAATGCATTGATTATCAACTAACTAATTAAATTCAAATATGAAACTTGATTATTTATATTAATGAATATGAAATATAAAATTTTTTGCCAACATTGTAAAATTTTCACAATGAGAGAACTGGAACAAAGTATCAGATTTCATGTAGTCTTTTGAATCAGTTACATATAGGGGTCTCTAGTGTAGAAAATAACTTCAAATCAAATTTACAAAACAAAGAATGTATTAAAACGTGAACTTAGTTACCACTAGACTGGAAATTTTAGACATTAATTATTAAATTTTGAACTGTTGGTCAATATTAATTTTAGGTTCTTCCTTAATCCCCTTATATTTTTTTCAAATAAACTTTTTATACATATATCCATGATTTATCAATAGAATATTTAAAATTAGGCTAATCTTTTTTGTTTAATTTTAGCAATAAAAAAAAGCATTATGACTAGAAGAAGTTCCCTACTAACTGCAGGCAGAGAAGTAGTTCCTGCAATTAGAATAACTCGTTCCTCAACTGGCACCAAAGTTACTAAATCTACTCCTAAGAAAGTATCAAAAACAAAGAAAGCCAAAAAACCCAGCAAGAATGTTTCCACGAAGCAAAAACAATTGAATGTTGTGAAAAGTGAATCATTGCAGAAACGTTATGTCTCAGAAACTGATACAGAAGACGATGATGAGGAAGATGATGGAAATGTGAGTTCCAGTGATTCAAGTGTAGAAGAATCTTTAAATGGACCTACTAAAAAATCGAAATGGAAAGACGGAGTTAAATGCCCTCATTGTTGCTATATAGCTCATTCTTCTGTTAGATTAGAACAACATGTTTCTCGTGTGCATGCAAAAGATGTAACTTATAAGTGTAAAGAGTGTGACTTTACATGCAAGTGGAGCCGAGAATATTACATGCATATGAAAACACATTTTCAAGGTCCTCCTTTCAAATGCGAAAGTTGTGAATATACTTGTGACAGAATACAGTTTCTTTTATCTCATCGTATGAGGCATACTGACGAAAGGCCTTTCAAATGTGATGAATGTGACCACCGTGCTCGAACCAAGGCAAATTTGGAGTGCCATATGAGATGTCACACTGGGGAAAAACCATATCAATGTGAAATTTGTGAGCGTAGATTTGCCATAAAAGCCAGTCTGGATCAACACCTTTCATCACATCGTGAAGATAGACCTTATTTGTGTGACATATGTGGTTTTAGTACAAAATATCAATCACATTTGTTTTCTCATAAAAGGATACATACAGGTGACGTGTTTCGTTGTAATTTTCCGAACTGTACCTACAGTACACCCAAAAGAAGCCAATTAGGATCCCATCACCGAACTCACACTGGCGTACGTTCTCACATTTGTGCGATTTGCGGCAGAGCATTTACTGAAAAGAGTCACCTCGTAAGACACGAACGCATTCATCTGAATGAAAAGCCATTTAAATGTGAACAATGTGATTATTCTAGCTCTCGTAAAGATAAGCTAAAGGAGCACATTATGAAACATCATGGAGAAAATGCATCTGCCAAACGTCCCTTTAGGCCTCGAAAGCAAAGGAGAGAGAGTCAACTGGAAAATTCCTATCCACATCAAATTAAAGCAGCACCTTCAGAATCTGAGAACACCCAACCTCAACAACATATAGAACTACAAAATGCTATGGAAGCTGCCTCCTCTTCGGTGCCAGTAGTTTATACTTATGATTCATCTCATCAAGATTCCATTTACAATCATGCTGTTGTTGGTTTACAACAACTTGGTGTGCATAACTACCAGATATCATTTATGGATCAAAGGAATCATCAGCCTTATCATCATCAACATGTACCTATTGGACCAACACCACCCTCAGCTATACCTACTATGATTCCTGATCAAAATAGATTAAATAGTGTAGCAATACCCTCTCAGGATGGCACAAATGTTGTGGGACAACCAGGGGAATATAACACTTATATATCTTATATGTAATTTTGTAATTGAAATTTTCAATCATTTAGGACATTATTTTTATACTCAATTTTTACTTAATCAAAATATTTTTGGATATTTTAAATCCGAATAATGTTAATTGACTAGAAAAAAATATTCGCAATATAGATGATATATTTTTTAAATAATACTTTAATTTGAATCGCTAATTCCTTTGAAACTTTATAAAATTAATTTATGAATTACATTATTTTTATTACAATGACTACCACTTGTTTTTTAGTGATAGCTAAATTGTTTTATCCACACGTTTTACTTATGGTGATAGATAAAAATTAATTTGTGTATCTAATCGAAATTTTAGCTGAGGATAAATAATGCATGCGTTCATGTCTCAGTGACATATGGAATAACATTTCATTTGTAATATAATTAAGATTATTAATTTGTATATATGCTTTTATATTTATGTGTGTGTGCTTTTATACAGGTAACAAAATTGAACTTATCACGCTAAAATGCATGGTATGTAGATTAATTGGTTTAAACATATTGAAGCTAAACAGTATATATTTCAGATTATGCATTTGTTACAAAGTATGGAAATGAGCAAACAAGAGTTGCATGAATTGATAGTGTATCACAATGCTGTATGTTGATTATTTTTTTTGCATTAATTGATGTTGTAACACAATGTTTCGTTGTTGCAAGTTAAAAAGAGTATGGTGAAATTTACAGCAAAACTGATGCTTATTGCTTGCCAAGAATACACTTAAATCATTGCATTGGCATAGACTTTTAAAAATCATTTAAATTTGCGTGTATTTTTTGAAATTAAATTGATCTAATGAAATTAAATTATTTGTGCAAAATTAAAATGTATTTTGTCATTGTCAAATCAGAAAATAATTAAAAATTTTAAATTATATTGTTTTTATCGTATTCTAAAATTAAATTTAGAATAGATATAAAAATTAAAATGTGTTTAATTTTAGTCTAAGCATACACTGTACTATATAAATAAATAAATTTTTTTTTTCAACTTTAAAAGCAAATTGGCGTTAAGATTTTTAAATCACTTAAAGCTGTTACTTATCTCTGAGTAAAAAGTCTAAAAGTTTTTTTTTTTTTTTTTTTTTTTTTTTTTTTTTTTTTTTTTTTNTTTTTTTTTTTTTTTAAATTTTAGACTCTAATCTATACATTATTACAAGATGTTCAAGCATCTATAATTTTTTAAAACAATAGTTTTTCTCATTATCTAGCATTGTTTTTAAAGTGCTTAAATGGTGTAACTCAATCTCTGATGACATTGTTTTTCTACATTATTGTGTAAATGAGTAATAATTAAAAAATGGATGAACATTTGAATTGTTCAGGGCTTTTCTTAATTTGGAACAAAGCAAAATTAAACTTGAAATGCAATCAGTTGCAGTTTTCCAATAGCATGGCCTCCTAACTTATCAATTTTTGGCCAATGAACTAAGTAAAGTTATATTGTGGTGTCTATTGCTGTATAATAATGATAAAATTTCTGAGAGTTTAATATTTATTTTAATACATTATTTTCAGCTACCAAGTAGTTTGTTTAATAATTTATGAGTGTATAATCTGTGCTTTTATCTAAGATCAACGAAATGTTTAGTTTCATATTTACATGTTTTGTTTTTGGATTCTACACTTATATTATGTGCCTTTTAAAAAATGTTTAACTTTAAAAGTTTTAAAAATCTAAAGATAACGAATAGAGAAAATGAATGTATAGTTTGAAAATTTCATTTTAAATGTAGCAATTAAATTAGTTTTAGATTTAGAGAAATACTTGATTACCTGATATAAATTTGCAGTAAAACTTGCGTAAATTTATATCAAAATTTAAAAATAGATTGTTTTGTTCAAAAATGTATGAACAAAACAGTGCTTCTAACTAATTATAGTTGAGTGCTTGGTTTTATAATTTTAAGAAACACTATTTTATCCATATTAATTTCTATTTTTGCATTGCTTCTCTTAAAGTATTTTATCATTTTTACCAACCAACATAGTATTCATTACTGCTTGTAAAAAAATAATGCAACCCTCAATAAAATTGAAGCTATTTTGCAAAAGTAGCAAAAAGAATGAAAATATTGCTTAGCAATAGTAAAAAATAAAAAAGTTTAAGAATTGCTACATTTTTCTGGCAGAGGGACAAGCCTCCATTACCATAGTAGAATAACAATTTTAAATTTACACTTTTATCTTGTTTGCTTTTAACACAAATTCCTGTCTCAATTATAGAACAAATGGAAAAACCCATTGTATTCAACTCTTATAAATTAAAAGGCTGTTTTTGTACTGATGTAAGAAAATAAGGAAAATATACCTAGCACTATTTCTTGAGTGCCTTTAGCTCTGTGTGCTGATACAATCCTATTTATCCAATCCTAAGAACTTCGGTGACGAAGAAAACGTCTTTGAAAATAAACTTTTAAGAAATAAAATAAGCTTTAAATTTCTCTATTTAGATATCTTAATTAGCTGTTGTATTATTCTTTTTACTTATGTTATTTTATAAATAGTTTCACCCTACTTTGGTTCAATTTTAATCATTAAATAGAAATTTTTAAATGAATGTGTTTTAAATACTCTTTTAAATTTATATAACATGTGTAAGTCATGTGAAAAAGTAATGGATTTGAAAATCTAAAACTTTGCTGATATCCTCTATTTGACTCTTTAATTTATTTCTTGTTACTTTGTATTTTTTTTATGTTGTTTTTTATGTTATTACTTTTTCTGAGGATTTTGTAGATCTTCTAGAAAATTGTACTAATTATTTATCATGTATTATTTATAAAAGTAATATGCATGATTAATTAAAAAAAATTTTTTTTATGGCTGTCCCATAAATGACTTTATTATGGTACAAAACATTATACACTGCATTGAATGTATATTATCAGTCTAAAAATATTTGGCCACTATCAGAAAGTGATAGTTTTAAAGTAGTAAAATAATTACTACAATTATTGCATTTTATTTATTATACATTCATCACAACGTAAACTACTAAAAATTTTGAATAAAGGAAAATGAAAATATGTTGCAGTATTTTTTTAAAAATTATTATTGGAATTTTTTGTGATCAAATATTTTTGACTGAAAGATACTGAAATATTGAAGCATCATTGAATGTTATTTTTCCATTTTTATATAGAGTTTTTTGTAGGTTAGATTTGTTAATAGTTGTCTAAATTTCTTGTTAAATGCAATATACCATTAAAATGTTTTTAATTTTTCTTCTTTACTTTCTTTCTTGGAGAAAATGTGCTTTATTCAATAAAAGAAAAAGCCATGAAGAACATGGCTCTGTTCTACACTAATACAGGGTTGCCACAGACTACTAAAATGCGACTATTTGCTACGATTTTCGACTATGGCTACTTTTTTTCGACTATGGCTACTTTTATTTTCTGGAATAGGCGACTATTAGGAGGCTTTTTTACTCCTAGCGAAGTTCTTTCGCAAAAATTAATTTTACTTTTCAGTCCCCTCACTAACATGTACTTATTGTCGCGTACCATGTGCGTTAAAACAAATGTTTTTTTAAAAAAATAAATAAAGAATTTAGTAATGTATTGATGCTTTTTAATAATTTAACATTAGTTCTTAAAGTATTTTTTTTGTTGTTGAATTTTTGTTAAAATTCTTTCAGTACTTAATTGTTTTATAATTTTTTAGATAGTCAGTATCATTTTTAAACAAATAAATCTTTAGTCGATTTTATTTTCAAAAAAGAAAATAATAAAGAAAAAATATTTTTACATTTATTAAGTACAGAATTTGACCATTAGTCAATACTACTTTTTATTATTTTAAATAAAAGAGGGTCTAATGATGTTTCAAAAGCATGATTTTTTTTTCAACAAATAATTTTAAAAAAATATTTATTTTTTTCTAAAGTGAACATTTCTTCGGTTCTTAGTTTTAGGCAACTATTTTCCTTCTTGAGGCTACTAAAAGCAACTATTTTTGTTCCTTTTTTGCTGTGGCAACCCTGCTAATAGAACCCAGTCAAAAAAATTTCAATGCTTCAGTTCCGCTCTCAGGTAATAAGCTCCAGCTCTGCTAAGACTCTGGCAATTTTACTATATATTTAAGTGTGTGGATTTTAATTTGAAATTTTAATCGTAAAAAGGTACAGTATTTTAATTTTTAAAATGAAGTATGTCATAATCACTAGAAATACGAATTAAAATAAATTACTGCATAACCAAATTTAAAACAAAATTAAATAAAATATATCAGCCAAAATCAAATTATCTTTATTTGTAGAATCATCCAAAAATTAAAAAGCACAAAAACTTATCGTTTTTATTGTTATGTTTGAAAAGGATAATTATTTAAAAAAAAAAAAAAAAGCTTTAAAAGTTCCCTGGAGCATGGGAAAAATTTGTTTCAGTTCCAGAGTGCTCGAGGACTCTTGACAGCTTGTGAATTAGGAGTTACGAGCGAAACAAAATGCAGTATTGATGACGACGGCAGAACTTAATTTCAATAAGGCAAGAAATAAGGCAACAATTAAACTTTACCGCGAGCTCTTTATTTCTCTGTTTTTGGAAGAAATGAAAGATAAAAAGGAACTGACTTTTCATATGCTTTAAATTCATGTGCTAACAGCACAAATATAGGTTGATATGAAATAACTGGGATATGTGAAGCACTACAATTTTAATACCAACTTATGAACATGAAAACAATATTTCCTGCAGCATGTTTATAAATTTTAAACTTTTTCATTTGAACTTGAAGCAGAGCTGTAATTGTGTCGTGAAAATTTCTGCTTTGCGTTTCACCTCCTGGGTTAGCAAAAATCATGTTTTTTTTTTGTTTTTTTTAATATTTATAAAAAGAAACTCTGAATTTTTTTGTTTCTTTTATATCAGAATTTTGAACAGATAAAATCATAATTGCATTTATACATGCTCAACCCCACTCCGATTTGTAAAGAGCAAGCTAATTAGATATCAAATGATGAATAAATTTAGATCAAGGAACATAAAAAAAAGTAGTTTTTCTAGAATTTCTTAGAAAAACTACTTTTTTTTTTCGTTATGTACAGTGCGCAAAATTAAAAAGATATCCCCTAGAATAACTTTCATTCTAATGATCAGATTTTCACGAACTGAATGTCTATCTTGATGGTTTCCGTTGATTGACCTCGATTATGCTAATTAATTAGTTTTAACTAATAATTTAATTACGAAATCAAAAACTTATTATCATGAATAAACATGTTTTTTTTTTACATATCTTGATTCCTGATTCTCAAAATAGGGGTGAAAAAGGGTTTTCCCCCCCTTAATTTACAAATTTGTTTTATGATTCTCACAGTCATTAATTACTATGTCTATATATGATACAATACTCTCTTTTAAACCAAATTCTTAAGGTCCTTAAGATTCTGAAATGCATTTTATTACGTTTACATTTACCAGCAATTACTTTTTATTTACTCTTGTTTCAAAATTTTTATTTTATAGCTTAAGATGACTTCAATTACATTACTGATATTACGGTTCACGTACTTTTTTAAGGACTGTATGAATCTTGTTAAAATACAAATATTTACTTATACGAGCATGAAATCTTTTATTAAAATACCAAATGTAACACAGTATAGTTGAAGA